TGATTCATAGTTCACTTAGGTTAGGTTGATGACAATGACTATGATTCATAGTTCACTTAGGTTAGGTTGATGACAATGACTATGATNAGGTTAGGTTGATGACAATGACAATGCATGTGATTCATAGTTCACTTAGGTTGGGTTAATGACAATGACTATGACTATGATTCATAGTTCACTTAGGTTAGGTTGATGACAATGACTATGACTATGATTCATGGTTGAGTGAGGTTAGGTTGATGACAATGACTATGCATGTGATTCATAGTTCACTTAGGTTGGGTTAATGACAATGACTATGACTATGNTGTGATTCATGGTTGAGTGAGGTTAGGTTGATGACAATGACTATGCATGTGATTCATAATTCACTTAGGTTAGGTTGATGACAATGACTATGATTCATAGTTCACTTAGGTTAGGTTGATGACAATGACTATGATTCATAGTTCATTTAGGTTAGGTTGATGACAAAATTAGCATAGTATCGATATTCATGAAATAATGTTATCAATTACATTGACATTTATCTTTAAAAAATTTTCTCAATACACAAAAGATGGTGACACTTGTACTATTCGTCTATTCAAAAAACAAAAATCGATAGGCCTCACTTTTATTTTACCAAAAAAGCAACTAAAAATTGTTTGGCATGTTGAAAACATTGACAAAAATCCAAAAAAGAAACATCTTCATTCATTTCGATCGATAGATCGATCCATTCGTCATTGCTGATATGGTCATCATCATCATTTTCATACAATGATAATAGGTTAGGTTACACCGAATATCGATTTGGCTTTCCATCAAAATGATAAGGATGATGATAGACTAACAAAAATGTTTTTTATGATGTTTTTAGCTTCATTTCTCGAGAAAATCTGAATTGAATTTTTTTTCAGGAAAAAATGTAGAGATTTTCGTTGATTAAATTACATGGTTTAGTTAGTTGCCATAGCTTTTTCTTTACTCGAAAAGGCTTTTTTCCCGAATTTCCATCATTCGTCAACTGGATTCTGAGTTATAATTCACCAAAACAACATTGCATATGATAGAGATTTGGATCCATTTGGGAATATTATTTTTATATTCTGTCGTCGAATCGATGAATAAATCATTATCATCATCATCATCATTACACTGCAATGATGTGCATCCAGCCGATCAATGTTGTATTTCCACAACCAAATCAAATCAAACCTAACCAAACCACCTTGGCCAATTGAAAATGAAAATTCATTTGAATGTCGTCGTTGTAGTCTTGGTCGTTCAAAATTCATTCACAATTTAAATATGCTTGCCTGGTGTATCATGTTTTCATGAATGAAAATTTCTTTGAAAGTTTTGTTTTGTTTGATATTCCCAAAACGATGCAAGAAAAGAATGAATTTTTTTCTTGGTTGCTTCACTTACTGTAAATGTTGGGAAAAATTCCATGTTTGCATTTGCATTTTCAATTCATTTTTTTCCACTTATTCTCAATTCTCGATTTCGATTCAATTTTTTGTCTGAATTGTGTTGGTCGTTGTTTTGCTTTGTTTTGGATTATTGTTGTGGATGATGACGACATTTAGGCAGACTTTTCTCTCTCTCTCTCCATCGATTTGATTGAATAAATAGATTATTTGTGTGTGTGCGGGGGAAATCCAATTCGATTGGGATTTAGAAGAATGTTTGGGGCCCAATTCATCAATTCATAAGATTCAATGATGATGATGGAGCCGAGTTTCTCCATTGGTTCGAGAAGCAAACCGAAACATTTTGTTTTGTTTTTTCCACTCAATTCAGTCAGTTAAATAATCCTCAAATGATGATGAATGATGTTTTTTCTTTGGATATTTTTTCTAATTCCACCGCCATCATCATTACATAATTTTCAGCCGCTTTTAAAACAAAAATATGAAACCAAAAACCTAAATTAATGTTGAGAAAAAGGAAATTTTTTGCCTACTTGAATAATGAATGTTGAATTTCCGGATGTTGTTGAAATTAGAATGGAATGTGTTGTGTGGACAACAACAACAAGATTTGTTTGTTTGGTTTGTAACAAGATTTCCTTTTTGTTTGATTTAATTCAATTATCATCATTGATGATGTTGTTTGTTTAATTTTTATTATTAATTGATGATGTGTGATGTTGTGATTGAATTATGGATAATGATAATTAAATAAAATGTTCAACATCAACATTCTTCACTGCAGTTGATGGCCGTTCATATCATTTAATTTTCAATTTGATGCATTCACTAAACACCATAAGTGATAATGATGAGATAATCAATTGGAATGTTACTCAAAAAAACATAATGTTGCAACATACTAAACAAGTATTTTATATTCAAATCGATCGATTTTCTATTCATTCATTTCCATAATCAAGGATTCTTTCATTGAAACTAATGTTGTATAATTGTGCTATAATCATGATAATGTAATGAGGAAATTATTATTCAATGACCAATCTGAAACATCGCAATTCAGGAATCCTTCACAAATAAAGTTCACAAACCTTGAATCATGGACAAGGATTGTGAATCAAGCGAAGCAGCCAAACAGGATATCTGTTTTTGTGTTTTTCCAATGGAACGTCCTTGGTTTTGGAAAATGTTTTCTTTCTTTGTCAATGTCGCCATGCTTTTTATGTTTGTCTCTTTTCTTTTCTTTTTTCCGTATGTCGATTTGTAACCTTGAATCAGGATCAATGTCACCATGTTGTTGTTGATTTCATCGGAACAAGGAACACAATTTTTTTCAAAATAAATTTTTTCATTGCTCGAAGGCGTTAGGGCGTCAATGATGATGATGCTGATATAAAATAATTAGATTTCGACATTGTCGAGAATTGCTCCAACAGATGAAAAAGAGAAGAGAATGTTGTTGCTTGTGGCTTGCTTGTTTTTACGGTTTGGTTTGGTTGAATGGTGAGCAAAATTGTTCTGTTGACTGAGTTGATTCGCACCTGAATTAGATTAGTCAGTTTTTTTGTTTGTTTCGAGAACGATGGATCATAGACATGTTGTAGTTTGCAAAAATTGTTCGTTTCGTAATGATTTTCATGCAAATTATGTGCCATCATCATTTTCACCACCAAATGATGATCATCATGGTGGATGTTTCAATGGTTGCGGTTGGCTAAAACGTTGGTTATTTAACAACATTCATCCATTTCAGGTTTGTTGCCCAAGCGAGAGAAATGTTCTCGGGATAAATTTTCCCAAGAGAATTTTTATGATGGAAAAATGAATCCAGGCATTCATTTTCTTATCCATTATTTTTCTGTTTCTTAACTGATGTGATGCAATCCAATAAAATGAAAACCAGTCACTCGTCATTTGACAATTCAAATATTGACATCCTGAATGCAAACAAGATTTGGCCATTATCGTCTGGTTGCATTTTCCCCTTTCCCCACTTTTCTTTATAAATAATTCTGTTGACTAAACAAAACCGACTTCATCTTTTTCTTTCATCTGTTGTTATCAAGAAAAATGTTGTTTTTTTGGATTTCTTCTGAATTTCATTCTCCCCAAAGATGATGGAGAATTTCGGTAGCCAATTGAGAATTGAATCAATTTTCTTTCTCTGTGTTTTCTGCAATTCAAGGCTTTCATCATATTATTATTATTATGGTTAGTGGTTAGTTAGTTCCGTTAGTTTCGTTTAGTTAGTTAACAACCGAAACTAACTAAATGAAATGCTTATTATTATTATTATTATAACGATAATAATGATGGCCATCACATCATCATAATGATGAGCATCCTCTCTCTGTGTGTGTGTTATATTCCAGAATTGAGAATGCGAAAAAACCAATTGAAACAAACCGAACCAATTATGAAATTCTTATGAGAAAAACATAATCCTGTTCTTGGTTGATGCACATGCGTCAAGCATATATTTTTTGCTGACAATATTTTTTTCACATTTTCATTTTCAATTTCATTTCATTCTTCGTCGTCGAACCTCCAATAACGGCGCCAGAATCCAGAATTGATTCATTCTCTGCACACATCAGTTTTGTCTCTATATGTGGGTGGATGGTTGTACATTGTTGTTTGTGTTTGAAATACGTCTACCGCTGTCTACGTAAGAATGTTCTGTTTTCGATTCGGTTCCAGTTGCAGAAACTCCTGATAACATTTTCTTATCCAGAAATTTTTTTTGTTTGGTTCAGACTTGAACGAACGACAAAACGAAATGATTCGCATCATCATCCTCATCCATGAATGAATGACTTTCACTTGTTTCTTGTTATTTGTGTTTGTTATTTGTTTGTTTGTTTGTCGATTTAGTTTAAAATATTAAGTTTGTTATTTTGTTTGTTATGGGATTATCTAACAATGTTGTTGTTGTTGTTGAACAAGAATCAGCAATAAAACAAAGTTTACCTGTTTCTGTTTGCTTGCCAGCCTCTTTACTTTCAATTTTCTCTCCGTCTTCACTCTCGGGGATTTATCTTGAAAGTTTTTTTAATTAAAATTTTCTTGTTGTTTGTTGTTCAACTTTGAGTGCGTTATATTCATTGTCAATCATTTGATTTGGTTTTTTCGAGTGTTTTCTTCACCAATGTCTTCAACTTCAAACACCACCACTTGTAGCAACAATGTTGTGGATGATAATTGTCGACCATCATCATCATCTATGACAAACATGATGACCACCGCCAACACCAACAATAATGATCAACAACAACAAAAATGTTTAAATCGGCATTCATTTTCGATTCATATTGAAGATGAAAAAGCTAATCGTACAGCCACAATATTGAATAATGCCGATATTAACTATAGTGATAATGATGGACAACAACAACCGAACGTATGGCTTTATTCCTTATTTTTTCGCTTATTTTCTCCCCAAGCAGAAATTCCGCTTAGTAACCAGATAAAGAAATAACAGTTGTTACATTTGAATTTTGTCTGTGTTCTGATCGGTCGGTTAGTTGGCGTCATCTGGCTAATTAGGATGTTTCAGAAAAGTTTTTGTTGTTTTCGGAACAACAAAAACTTTTCTGTTGTTTGAAAAACCATGATGAACGTGATGATTACCCGATGATAATGATGATCATGTTATCCGTAATTGATGATTCCCTACCAAACAAAACGAACAACATAGTCATGCTAATTACTAAATTAATTGGCCTTGTGTTGTTTTTGGCTGCCCGAAAAAAACAACATCTATCAACATTGTTCGGACATGGCTGCCAATATAATAATAACGTCTAGGTGTGGGAGTGTAGGTGTCATGTTTTTTTCATTGGAATTTTGTTTCTCCATTGATAATCAATCATAATCATGATTAATCCGCAATATTCGATAAGCCAGAATAAAAAAAACATTATTATTTTACAATCAAAATGAAAATTAATGTTTTTGTTGTTGAATATTGCATCCATGTGTTTGATGTTTGATCGTTTTGGCAATGTTTGTTTGTTTGTTTTATGATAGTGAAATTCAATAGCCCCATTATGTTGAATGGGGAGACTATGAGAATATTATGAGGATGATCATGGAGAATGTAAACATCTTTTTTGTTTGACATTTAACAATGTAATGAGAGCCAAGAAATAATCGTAAATTCTGTAAAAGATTGTTTATATTTTTTCGATTTGGATTGAATGTTTACAAATATATCAATCCGATATCGATAAGTGATCGGATCAAATAAATAAGTTAAGTGAGTGGTTGAATTGAAGAGATATATTCTATATGATGGATGCAGAACCATTCTTTCATGTGAATCATTGATTCTCTGGGTTGGTATTGGATCGATTACAAAGTAGCAAACATGACAATCATATAGCCATTATTGAACCATGTGGTTTTTTCTTATATTTCAATTAATGATTGCAATTAATAAACGATAATTATCTTTATCATTACAATCATCATCATTATGACAGTCATAAGATTCAATCAATGATAGTGATAATGATTGCCCACTACAAACACTAATGATTATATGATTTGTAAAGATAACTTATTGTCATTTTATGTTCGTTTTGGTTTGGTTTGAAATAAAAGTTTTATTATTGAATTGGTTTGTCTTGTCACCATTTTATGATGATGCAGTAAAAATCATTTCTCTTCTCAACTCTCTCCCAGTAATAAATAAAGAGATTAGATAAATAAAACAACCCGGGTAACCAAACCAAAAAGCAACATTATCAGGCCATGATTACTTTACTTTAGTGGTGATAATAATATCTTACCTGGTTTCCAAAATTATGATATCATTTTCATTTTGATCTGTCAATCAAAACACAATCAATCTTGTCAATCTTATCCAAGTGTTTCAAGTTGTTTTTCTCAAAGTCATTGCATACCTTTGCTATTTTCTTAATTCCCAATCAACAAAACTGATGTGATTTGTTTCTGAATTTTTTTGTTTGTTTTTTAATTCGGTGAAATCCAGGCATCATCATCATTATTGAACGATTTTGGTTTGAGTGGTGCAACGCCATCATTATCATCACCTTTATCGTTATCATCAGCGACATTGCCATTGATGAATTACAGCCAACAAAACAAAATGGCAACCGGAACACAAGAAATCTACATCAATATGCAATCTGGCTTGATAAAAGATTCAATCAAACTAGATCCAACCGAATTAACATTAAAAACATTGAAAGAATATGCATGTAATTTCATTGATCGAAAGGTAAGTTTTGTTTATTATTGACGTTTGCTTAACCTAACCTAATTGAAATAGAATCATGTAAAAGTGAATTTGGTTTGCTTGTCCATGCAAATGATTGTCCATTATGATAATTCATCATCATTACATTATGATTATATAACAGATTCTTTCTATATTCATTTTGTTTGAATATAAAACTGGATTGGCAAAACATTCATTGTGATTGCATAGTCAATACAGTCATTGTCATAGTGTTTCCATAGCAGCAGCTCCCAAACAAATTTTGGAAAATGGGCGACCAAAACTTTGCTACTCTGTCATCATGATGATGATGATAATGAGAATATTCTGAATATGGATGACGATGATGAATTGTGACAACTTTTATTCATTCAACGACCTCAATAACAACAAACAATTCTCTATAATAAAAATTGAATGCAAAATGAATAAATAATGAAAATTTCGACAACAACAACAACTAAATAAAGTGAAGTGAAAAAAGTTGTTTGCCAACATTCAATACATTTTTTCCTTTATTATTAGCAAAAATGTTTTTGTGTCGCCCCCAAATTCTCTTGCATGTTTTGTTTGTTTGATCTTTCAGTCAAAGTTTGTTGGTGAGGTTTGGTGATGGTGGTGGTTGTTGGTAATGACAACCCGACCAGAACCATTTTCTAGAATCCCTTAAGGTCATTTTAAGCCATTTTTCATTCGTCCAAAAAAAAATATGGATAATTCCATGAAACTTTGTTTTTTAGCTTATGCTGGACACTTGATTACGTGACTTATATTATATTCAACTCAAGTATTGCTTTAAAACATCATTATCGTCATCATCATTAAGAATCTTATGATGATTTTCATGAATGAATGAGTATATGGCGCCCAATATAGTCTTTTTCTGTGTGCATCCAACTTGAATCGTTACATTGAACAAAAGGAAAATAAAGTGCGTGTGTGCGTGCGTGTTACCCATTCGCCATTTCAATCTTAAATCAAAATCTAATCACCGAAAGAGAAATGGAGAAAAATCTTGACATTTCTTTCGATCTGCGGATGATAAACGAACTTGAAATTCGGCCAAACTAAATTGAATAACCGATTTTTCGTTTTCAAGCCGATTAAACAAAGTTGTAGAAGAAAAGGGTTGGAAAAAAGACAAAAGAATGTTTCGAAAATTTCAGTTGAATAACATTTTAGTCTAGTTAGTTTGAACTGGCATTTACACAGATAATAATAATTACCATAGTCACCATAATTTGCATAGAATTCCATTCGCAGAATTGAATATCATTAATGAATAGATGTTGGTTGTTACGCCATCCCTATCAATTATTATTTTCTGGGCGTTCCAGGGAATAATCTATAGTAACATTTGTTTGATGGAAAGTTTCTGTGATATGCATCTATCTTGATTTGATCTTTTGAGTTGTATAATAATGATGATGATGATTATATAATAATGAATTTTTCTTCCGTTTTGTTAATTGTGAATGAAGTTTCCTGATCATGGATTAAATCGTCTTACTGAACGTTTACTGTTATTTCGACATGATTATAATTCGAAAAATCTTTTAGTACCAATCAATGTTGTATCGGAAATTACTGAAGGTTCATTGATTGAAATTGTTGTTTCAGGTAAGCTTTTTTTCGCTAACCAACTTATTGAATGTAGATTGAGGCATTACGTAATAATCGTTATACCAATCACTGTAGCTAATCCACCATCCGATACGGTCCAAATACGACGCCATTCACTATCGATACATTCATATAAATCACCAACATTTTGTGATTTTTGTGGTGAAATGTTGCTTGGTCTATTTCATCAAGGTCTCAAATGTGAAGGCTGTGGTCTTAATTATCATAAGCGTTGTGCGTACAAACTGCCAAATAATTGTTCATATGGCCGACGACGTCGTTCATCAACATATTTACCACAACCACAATCGCAAACGCCACAACAACATAGTCCAAATTCGGCAACACCTACCACACCGATATGTCCATCATCACCATCGCTGGGTTATGTATCGCAATTATCATCCATAATGACCATTGCTGACAACCAATCCATCAATGATATTGAACGAACTGCATCCGGATCCGGATCATCATTGTTTGCCAACGATGTTAAGGTTTGTTCGTTTGTTTGTTTGTTATCTGATGCTAACATGACCTAGTCAATCGAATCCAATCAATCAATCGAGATGTTTGTTCTCACAGTGATAACAAACAAAATCCATATTGGCCAATATTGTTTTTTTTCTGTTTTTCAAAAAATTTTCTGAGTCAAAAGTTAGCTAGGAATTCAATAAATCTTCTCATTGTGATTCTGATTAAGATGATTATTAGATTATTGGATAAACATACACTGATCAACCGAATAATTATTTAGCATCATAATGGTCGAATCGATTGAACGAGTGTGAAGTGAGTGAGTGAGGCATTTTACTATAAATTGACTGCAATAATTATCCATTATGATGATTATTGTTGTTTTGGAAATTGCGCCAATATTAGCCAAATTATCTTTCTCTTTCTCTCAAACAACTTCAAGGTAAATCACTTTTTTCACTTCAGTGAAAGCAAAGGTTTTTTTGTTTTGTTTTCTCTCTCCGTTGCTTTTCTCTTTCTTGGAAAGATTTTTCGTTGTGTTTGGGTTTTTACATACATGCTGCCTCACTATACTGCTGATGCTGTGTTCCAAGATTTTTTTCAATGATAATCATTGCCACAAGCAACACGCAACCATCACACACACCAACAGTGTATGACAGAGTGGACATTTGTTTCAATTTTGAGAAAAAAAAGACAAATTTAATTTGTGCAACATTCTTTGTTTATTGTTTTGATTGATTATTGACCATGATGTGACCCCATTGATTGATTGACTTTCTCCTACTACTAATCTTCGTGGTCAATTTTGGTTTTGGTTTGCCCAACAAATGCTGATGATGATGAGAAACGAACCATCTGACTGACCAAACAATAAATATTCTGATTTGGTTTGTTTGGCTGTCTGTATGTTTTTCTCAATAGTTTTTTTCCGAATCAAATAGTGTTCATATAACATAGAAAAATGTTTATCAAAATTGGTCAGGCAAGTGATGTTGTCATTCATCTTTTTTTTTTGTTATATCCGGACTTGGACCGACCACTTTCTGTCATGTTAGATGATGAATGAATGTTTGCTTTATTGCGAAAATTTTGTTAACGGTGTATGAGAGAAACTCGGTGTGTTGACTCAATTCTGGTTTGTTCAATCTGTGAATTGAGCATCGAGAATATTCCGGAAATTTGAATTGCATGAGTCATTCATTATTGAAAATAAATGATTATGATTATGATTATGATTATGATTATGATTATGATTATGATTGTGAATAATTTTTTTTCATTTCAAAACAGTTTTTATCGGCATCAACATCGCCAATACGTGAACGTTGTCGACAATTATCAAATTCTACTATTTGTTCCAATCAATCAACATCAACCACCGGCATGATTACTACCGGTTCTGCTTTATCATCAAGTCTTGATAGTGGTTCCGGCGGTGGTGGTGGTGGATTGAATGGAACCATTAGTGTTTCGGGAAGACCTGTATGGGTAGATAGAAAATTGACTGATCGTATCCGTGTACCGCATACATTTGTTGTACATACATATGCAATACCTACTGTTTGTCAGTATTGTCGAAAATTATTAAAAGGAATCTATCGACAAGGCTATCAATGTAAAGATTGTAAATTTAATACACATAAAAAATGTATGGAAAAAGTGGCGGCAGATTGTGCAGGTGAAGCACCAAAAGAATGGGATGATCAAGAACCATCATCAACCACCACCATGAACAATAACAATAACCAAAGTAATCATCAAATGGATGATCTTCTATTGGATTCCAATCAATTGGATTCAGATTCGGAAGATCAACAACATTCGACGAAAACAATCGATATATCGAACAATCGCTCGTCCAACAAACCGAACAAATATGATTCGAATGATGATTCAATAAATGTCCATCAGCATAACCATGACAATAAACAACGTAATAACAATGATGATAATGACGATGATGACGATCATAATCATTGCCAACAACAACAGACCAATAGTGGTAGTGATGATGATAATCAAAAAATCAATCGAATTGTCAGGTATGTTTCATTTCTCTCTTTTTTTCACTATTGGTCACTCATTCTCTCTCTCTCTGTTTTGTTCAATCGACACATTTTCATTTATCGATTTATTGAATTTATCGAATCAATTTGAAACACACACTATAAACACAAATTCTTCATCAATTGAATTGAAGCAAATTATATTTGTCAGAACAACATCCAAAAAGAAAAAAGCCTAGCCAAATCGATCGAATTCATTATTATCGTTTACTTAAATCATTAATGTTGAATTTATCTTGAATTTCTTCCAAGAATTCCAATCTTTATCCATTTTTTCGATGTTTCTCTTTCTCTGTTGTTGATGATAATTATCGTTCAAAGTAATGTTTTTTTTGTTCTAATCAATTTGATGTTGACGATCAGGCCAGGTTGTCACACACAAACACACACTGACAAGACACGCACACAGATTCCAAGAATAAGGCAATGATTAATTTAATTGGTTTACTTTACTTTGTCCTATAGCGAAACAAGCAGCAGTAATATACCATTAATGCGCATTGTACAAAGTGTTAAACATATTAAACGACGTTCATCAAAAGTATTGAAAGAAGGATGGCTGATTCATTTTACCGATAAAGATCGTACGGTATGTGTTTGTTTGTTTGTTTGCTGTATATGTCTTAATTAATTAACCCTTTGATTGATTGAAAATTTTTCTTTTCAAACAGAAACGCAGCCATTATTGGCGTTTAGATACAAAAGGAATTACTATGTTCCAGAATGCAACAAAACCAAATTATTATAAAACAATTCCATTACAAGATATTCTGCATATCGATTCCGGTAAAAATGATTCCTCTACAACATTGGACTATAAATTCGAGCTTAAAACACAAAATGTTACCTATTATGTTTGCGAACCCGAGTCGACCGAAAATGAACGATCGCAATCATCAAGATCATGGGAATTAGCCATACGACAAGGTTTAATGCCTGTATTGTCGCCGCCAAGCGAAACTGGTGGTTCGCGAATTGTGGCCGATGATAGTTCAAAGCAACAACAATCAAGGCATTCGAATCAAACCGTTGCCGTAGCCAGCAATGATAATGATGATAATGATAATAATTGTGATATATCACAACAATATCAGATTATTATTGATGAAATGTTAGGCGCTGGCCAATTCGGTACCGTTTATGGTGGTGTTCATCGTACTAGTCGACGAGAAGTAGCAATCAAAGTTATTGATAAGCGTCGTTTCCCTACCAAACAGGAGGCCCAATTGAAAAATGAAGTTTCAATTTTGCAAACAATTTCACATCCCGGTGTTGTACATCTGGAAAAAATGTTTGAAAACTCTGAACGAATATTCGTTATAATGGAAAAGTTGAATGGTGATATGTTGGAAATGATTCTCGGTGGTGAAAATGGTCGCCTAAATGAGCGTGTCACCAAATTTCTTATCTATCAGGTATTATTCTTTGATTATTTAATTCTACAATGTATTAATCCAACACTTTTTCCATATAGATTCTGGTAGCATTACGTTATCTTCATGCCCAAAATATTTGTCACTGTGATCTTAAACCGGAAAATGTTCTACTTTCGTCCAACAGCAGTTTTCCACAGGTAAGTGATGTTTTTGTTTGTTACAGATGTCAAAATGAATGACAAATTCAATTCGAATCGATAAGGTTAAATTATGCGATTTTGGATTTGCTCGTATTATTGGCGAGAAATCATTTCGTCGTAGTGTAGTCGGTACACCGGCCTATTTAGCACCCGAAGTACTTCGAAACAAAGGCTATAATCGTTCATTGGGTAAGTCGTGGCTGATAAAAATTTGTCATTCACTCATCATTCGTTCTTTGATTTTTCCACAGACATGTGGTCAGTCGGTGTCATTATCTACGTAAGTCTTTCCGGCACATTTCCGTTCAATGAAGAAGAAGATATTCAAGATCAGATAACTAATGCTGCTTTCATGTAGTACGTATCGCTTTTTTCTGATTCACAAATCCTCATCATGCTAATTGAATTGTCTTGTTTTTTGTTTTTTATTGTTTGTTTGATAATCCGGCGATCGATCCATTGTGTGTAGCCCTCCAGATATATGGCGTGATATATCACCAAAAGCGATTGATCTTATAGCCAATTTATTACAAGTAAAAAGTCGTAAACGTTATACGGTTGATAAATCATTGGCGCATCAATGGCTAGATGTAAGTATTAATCATTGTCTCATTTTCACATTTACAGTTTTGTTCGATAGGATTATTATGTTTGGTGTGACCTTCGGCGATTAGAAAGTCAAACATCGAAACGATGGTTGACGCATGAATCGGATGAAGAGAGATGGGAACAATATCGTATCAAACATAAATTAGCTGAAAATGATTTCGGTCCAATTATAACCGCACCGAAATATAATGATCACGATCATGATGATGATGTCGATACACCGAACGAAGAGGAAAATCGTGATAAATTCATAACAATCAACAATACTGATTCCTTTCGACGTTGTACCAATTACAACAATAACAACAATGACAATCTTCATCATCCACAGCACAACAACAAATCAAACAATAATGGACATAATGGACATGGTCAATTCAATCATCATCACAATAATGCCATCATTATCAACAACAACAATAACAATGAATCCACAGCCAATTTGCAACAGATTTTCAACAACAAAAATCATAAAAGTCATACCACAAGCCGTTTGTAATTCGATTTGATTTGGTTTGATTTGATTTGGTTTGATTGCTCTCACCCCATATATATAGAGATTTTGTAATCAATTTATTATTATTGAGTCAATTTTTTGTGCCTGAAAATTACTAAATATTCAATTCAATCAATGTGTGTAATTTATTTAATTTAAAGAAAAAACAATCAAAAAAAGCATGAAACAAAGTTGTCAAAGAAGAGGCTCGACACAGATTGAAAATTGTAATGTGCAATATGATGATGATGATTGATGATTAGACATTGATTGACGACGATTATGCTTGGAAGGCTCCAGATAGAAATATTGATTCACCGATGGCTGTTGTAGATAATCCCTCAATGGACATTTGAATATCATCATCGTTTGATTTGACTGCAAATCATTATCATCAGCCATCATTAACGACAAACAGCCTGATTCGGTCAGATCATAATTACCGAAAAAAACAAACGACTCATCGAATGTGGGTAAATTAACCGGGTTATAGTCATCGTTATTACTGGTTTGAAATGGTTGCGATTTTGTTCGGCAATAGATTTGCGGTGTTCGGATTTTCGTTTGCCAAGATGATTTTGGTTTCTGAATTCGATGATGATGGTCATGATGATGTTTGACTTGGAAACATGCCCAAACCAAACCACCGTTTGTCGTACTGCTGCTGCTACTGGTTGTTGTTGTTGTTGCCGCTGTTTTCAGATATTCAATTTGACCAAAATGTATGGCAATACGATAGAGCATTTTGGACGACCATGGATGTTTGTTGTTGAGTGGATTGGTGATGGTGAACCACCATGTCATCATTGTGGTTAGTTCACGATGATCATCCTTGTTTGTTGGTGGTTGATCGAAAAACAAAAGTGAATGTTTTCGTTGGTTAGCTGGTGAAAAATCCATTTGTTTAGACAAGTTTCGTCGTAATTGATCCGAAATAATATCATCGGTCTGCGTGGTCGATGATCGACGATTACAATGGTGATGATGATTGCCAAACTGCAATGAATTGAATCGTTTCAACCCGACATAATGACGAAATGATTGTTTGACAGGTTGACAATCGATAGTAAGCGATAATTCGAAGCAAAAATGTTGGCTATCTAAATGAATGAATTTACGATGTAAATCTGTCATCATCATTGATATAGTTCTTGTTTGTTTGTGACAATGATCATGGCAAAACATTTCAGCTAAATCCAGATCGACAAAACCAATAATCATTTCATTCGAATTGTTCTCTTTTGTTGCCAGGGTTGTTAGAATTTTCTGCAACAATAACATTGATGATCGTTGTTGCGATCGTGGTCGTTGACGATTTGAATGAATCAAAGTCAAACGACAAATTCGTCGCCGATTATCAAAGCGAACGGTATTCATCGATTGAGGATGATCATAATGGATTGCTGATCGTATACGGATTTCTTGCCGATGAAAATCTATATCGAAATGTTTTCGATTTGCGCATTCGCATTGAATCGTTTCTATTTGATCGGTCATTATGGTCGATGGATTCTCTCGCGGATCATGACCATCATCCTCACTGGATGATGATGATAAAAATGTCGGACGCAAATAAAATTCATCCGCAACATTATCGTCGTTGGATGATCTATTTGAATTCATGGCAACAAATGGATTCCAAGAAATTTTTACCCGATCCACTCGCAATCGAAATATTAATCGCAAACAATTGGCAAGAAAGGCATCATCATTATTTTGTTGGTTGTTTGGCATGATTGCGATCTTATCGATTATTTCATTTCAAATGCCAGTTTCGAACAAAACAAAACAAAAAACAGAGAAAAATGTCCAATACATTTTTTTGCGCGCGCACCATCCTTGCTTCGAATGATCTTGACTTGGATTGTTTTCTGTGTCGCTGCACTCAAATTGCGATCAAACTAACATACGTCACCCGAAAATGAAACAACTTGATGATGAAATAAATCATTGACGCATTTTGTATTAAAAATTTTTGAAAATTTTTAATCATTTTCAAATCATCCTCCCAAACTACAATGAAAAAAAATTCAAAAATTTCAAAATTTAAAAAATCAGAAACCCAATGAAGATCCGACGGGTTTCAGCACCATTCATCATTCATTCATGTCTGCATTGCTACCAACGCCACCACCACCACTTTTGGATTTGGTATATGATAACTGTTGTTGCGTTTGCTGTTGTTGCGTTTGCTGTTGATCCATAACTGTTGAATTGCGTCTGGTGCTTGCGGTTGCTGATGATTTAGAACTATCAGCTTTATTTTCGAAGAAGAAACAATAGCAACACCATGCTACACAAGCCAATACCATTAACGCTAATATTACCCATATGGTAACGAAAATGACGAACAATACCACTCTAATATCTGTAATTATATTTCACTTCATCATTATCCTAACAGAGACACACACACAGAGCGAGAGAGAGAGACTTACCGTTGTTGATGAATTCCTTAACTGATTGCAATTCAACTGGACATGAATCCAAAGTTTTGCAATCCTTTAGATGACCAGTTTTATGATCCAAAATGCCATCGATCCGGTATGTATGATTGATTGTAAATACAAACAATGATTCATGACGGAAAAATCCAGTTATGATATCTTGATTGAGGAATGGCTCTGTTATGGTGGCATTCACATGTTCGTTTTCCGACACAATTCCATATGACTTGGTTGCATTCACTTTATGCCATACAAATTGGTATGTATGGTTCGCAGTGTAGACGAAATTTTTCTTTGAGACATCGTATCCCATCAACATGACATGCATTTTTGCAGGATGTGTGGTGATGAGGCCATATAAATATGGGCGATCAGTCGACATGAATACTGTTTCAGCATTGGCCGATTGAATCGTTATGTTCATATCGACAATAGGAACATTAGCCGCTTCAGCTTCTTTTTCCTTAGGGAATTGGGTACGATTTACCTCCGTAAATATACTCACTTGAAATGTGGGTGGTTTTTCGGGAGTCCAATACATGAGCCAATAATGACCATCATCACCAGTGGCCATTGTTATCACCCGAGCTAAATTGCCTTGTTTGTCCGGATTGTCTTGATTTGTCTTTTGCGATTCAATCAATTTGGACAATTTGGGATAAGAATCTGCCAACTTTTCATAATTAACCATTTTGAAAGTTTCACGTTTAGCTAGATGTGTGTCAAACTCATGATCACTCATTTGCGCTGTGAACATAAGTCTATCATAAGTGATGACCACGAACGACGAATTACCAGTCTTATTCGCTGCTGCGATCGGCTTTGCGCGAACCATATTAATGTTGCCCAATGGAAGCATAGTGTTGCTGAATGTTAATATTAAATGATGCGAACATTGAACCACCATTGCCATCATCATTGTCGTCATTATAATCATCATGATGGCCATTGCAAAATTACCACTAATAGAACGTTTTGCCATAATAATACCGATTTTTAATTCACAATTTTTTTAAGTAGGATCATAACTAGCTTCAAGCTGGGCTTTTTATAAACCCAGCAAAACAATCGAATCGAATCGATCAATGCGAACAACAAATCGAATTTTGCAACAATGGTTGTTTCATTTTCGAAAAGAAATCAAAAGAATTTTATTAATGAAAATGGATTAAAAACTGTATAGTTTGAATTGTTTACAAATAAATAAACTAAACATGCATTGATGATGATATCGAGTATTATCAGATTAATCAGGCCAAATATAAACGATGGAAATCATTGGCCGAAAATGATTGATTACATTTGGGACATTTACGCTGCCGTGTCTCGTATCGAGTTTTGAGGCAATCATAACAGAATACGTGAAAACATTTATTCAATACAGCATCCTTGCGTTTTGTTTTACACGATGGACAGGTTAGTTCTTCACGTAATTCTCGAATTTCCTCCTGTTTAAGTGAAAAATCCAGTTCAAATCAAATATGATTAGCCAACAACAACAACATCAACATACCTGAAGTACTTCATCAGCGGTGGCTGCTAATTCAAATTTTTTAGCCCTTTCATATTTACGTTTATACATGATGACCTCTTCATGTAAACGTTTAGTTCTATATGTTTCCTGTTGCCATGCTGAAGTTTTATCGGCAACAATCGATTGTGCATCTTTGATCTGTGCAACATATTTATCCAGATGAAGTTTAAGATCAGCAGCTGATTGTGAGCTTTCTAAAGCTTTTCGTTTCAGAAAATCCATCGCCTGTTGACGTACGGTCAGTTCCTTTTCAGCAGTGGACAAGCTATTCTGTAGGATTCTTTCACGTTCTTCAAGTTTTCGTACAACTTGATTTTGCGCTTCGATTTGTTGCTAGATGCGGAAAAGAACAAACAATCAATAATCATATGGCTTATGGAATAATCAATTCAAACAATACCTGTAATGTAAAAATCTGTTCGGTGAGATGTTCTTTTTCCTCTTTAAGCATTTTATGTATCTGATTAGATTTAATACGATCGGACATAAGTTTGAAATTGGCATCATCTTTTTCCCGAAGTTGCTGTATGAGACGACAATTTTGTTCTTGCATATCTTCGAATGCTTGGCCAGTAACTTCCATTTCGTTCAGTAATGCCTGTTCCTGTTGTTTATGTGCGGCAACATTTTTCTGCAATTCACGAATGATATCTTCATATTTGGCCATCTTTTTATGTTCTTCATCAGTGGTGACGATGGCAGATTTTGATTGCAAACCACCACCACTGCCAGAAAATCTGCGTTCTTTTTCACTGCGTTTCGATGAAGATGACAAGGATGAGGAACCTGAATCTTCCTGAATTAGTTTTTTATTCTGTTGACGCAGTTCTTCCAATTCGATACGTAGTTTCTTTTCCGAAGCCATAAGCTGTGCTTTTTCCCTTTGAAATTGAAACCTGGGTAAGACAAATTATTTTAGATATAGACAAAACCTACCTTTTTTCTTTATCCACCGATTTAAACATATCGAGTAAAATTTTCAATTCTCGTTGTGCTTCCCATGATTTTTTCAACTGTGCTCTCATATCACGAATTGTATCGGCTTCAGATTTTCGATTTGTCAACGATGAAGACGATGATGGCGGTGGTGGTAGATTTCTTTGCTGTTGGGAATGAGTGGTTGCCACCACTTGATGACTGCTACCTGATGATGACGACGAAGAATGTGGCTGCTGTTGTTGAACATGATGATCCGATTCATTATCCGTATTGGTCGACGCAAATTCCAAACAATCCAATTCGGGAGATTCTTTTTTCACTACCGATGTTGATGAAATTGTCGACGACGATGGTGGTGTATGATTGGCGTTGGTGGATGATTCAGATTTAATAATACAACGTTTGCTTAGATCTTCTGATGAAGAAGATTCGGCTGCCATTGCCATAGTAGATGATAATGGTTCTGATTTGATATCAGTTGATGATGATGAAGAAGAATCAAGTTCAGTTTTTGGCTGCTGCTGTTGGCCAGTTGTGGTCGTTGATTGGCAACAATCCACTGTACACGTAGTCGACCACGAAGCGGAACCGGCATTATCGGCAGATCGATTCGGTGTTGCAGTAGTGGCAGATGATGACGATGTTGTCGATGATGGAAGCAGTATACCGCCACAACATACTTTTAAATTATTCTGTTCGATAATCTGCCGAAGTCGACCAATTTCGACATTCGATTCTTTTAATCGTTTTTTGATTCGAGCATTTTCCCCTTTCAACTGCTGTGTATGATTCTGTAATGATGTGATGAGATGACGCATTTCTCTATTAATTGGCCCGGTTTGTTCATTAGCAGCCAATGTTTGTTCAAATTCTAAGCGCAACATTTCATATTCTTTACGTAATTGATTCAGCGAATCATCCAATTGCATACATTCATTGCGTAGACGTTTTTGCATGGTGAGTTCTTCAGCTTCCATTTGTTCGATTTGACGCATATGGACATTTTTTGCTGCCGATAATTGCTGGCGACATTCTTCCAATTGTGTTTTCAATGTCATCGATTCGTTGAATAGAACGGAAAAATGCGATTGTAGCGATTTAAATTCGGCTGAATCTTTTATCACCGAATCCGGTAAACATTGCAAATCGATTTTATATTTTTCTACCAATTTCAATGTATCCTTATGTTCATTATTCAATTGTTCGAGTTCAACCAGCCGTGATTGTGCTATTTCACGTTGTTCTTCTAATTCACGTTTCAGATCTTCGATTTTGGTCGATGACATTGTTGAACAATGAATGGCAGCGGTGTCCTGTTTATTTGAATCATTGCTAACTATGGCGGCTGTTGATCCTGAACTACCGGGTGCCGTTGATTGACTATTCTGCATATCACGAAGTTTTTCTCGTGCTTCATACAAATGATCTTCCAACCGTTGTTCTCGAGTTCGTGATTTATTCAATTCGAATTCCAATTCATCGATACGATTTTTCAATTCATCCAACTGCATATCTTTTGAATCCAAACGATCTTTTGCTTGTTGATACTTTAAACTAATCGTGCGATTTTTTTCATGCAACGATGTTACCATTAGGTTAAGATTTTTATTCTCCAATGTTAATTCTTCATTCAATTGTCGTACTTGTTCATCAAGGTTCATTTTGGCCCCATGTTTATGTCGATTTGCTTTAGTTTTACTCAATTTGCAATCATCATCGTCGTCAATATCATCATCGTCATCACGATCGGGTGATTTGATTGTATCCGGTTCGTCATGAGCATCGTCATCGGCAAGCAATGAACTTCGATTCAATGCTGCCATAACCTTTTCATTACGTTGAACAATACGATCGAATGCTTGTAATACTTTGGATACGGCACGGGTGGACAGCAACACTCTTTGTTGCATTTGTTCATCCAATTCTTCTTTGTCCAGATTAGCCAATTGTCGAACGAAACTAGTTGTTTCGGCATTTTCATTACGATGACGATGACCACCACCCCTGCCACCAGTATCATCATCATTGGAATCATCTTCATCACCATCCTCATTGGAATCATCATCATCATCAATGTTATCATCGTTTGGTTTGGTTGATGGATTAGCATTCGAATCATTCGATGCATTCGTATCGAAACGTTGCAATAGCAGACGCATATCTTCATTCAATTGATTCCAATATCGATTTATCACATAAAGTTTTGTATCATCATTTAGTTGTTTTTTCTCCATCTGTTCCAATCGGGCACGAAGCTCTGCTTCGATACGTTGTCGATGTTTAATTCTTTCGGTCAGACGACGATTTTGCACACGAAGCAACTAAAACAAGATTGAAACAATCAATCAAACGAAAAAAGATCCAAACAAACTTACCCCAATATCCAAATCATCTTGTGATGATGCAACAAATTTCACATCAAAATCAATATCCATTTTCGAACGTTTTTTGGCCGGTGTTTGATTACCATTACCACCACCACCGGCATTGTTTTGATCGGCCGAATGACAAGAACGTTTCGAACCGATTGTGGCCATTGTTTAGTTTAGCTTACAAATTGATTTGATCAGTGATCAGTTATGCAACATTGGTCAACAATCGTTATGATGAGCGGGTTTGGATTTCCAAAGACAATGGATGCCCAATGGTCGAGGAGCTCAACGCAAACAAAAAAAATCATCCATTATGCATTAATGATCCATTCATAAACGAGGTTTCACGATTTTTTTTTTGTTGTTCGAATCATATGCATGCCGTTTTTGTCAATCCAGCGTTTTCATTTTTAAGCTGTCATTTTGAGTTGAGGTTGTTCTGAAAGATATCATCAGTGTTAGTTTCGTGGCCATGGCTTCAACAATGGCTGATCCAGAATTGACCCGAGCATTTCAAGAGCTACAAATTCAAGTGCTAAACACCCGGGAAAAGGTTCGTCATATTGAAGCTGAAATACAAGCATGCGAACGACAAGCGTTGATTTATGAATTAACTAAAAAAACCGTAGCCGATCTAAAATCCGATCATCAATGTTTCATCGGTCTGGGACGAGCTTTTGCACGCCAAGAACCGTCCCAAGTTCTTGCCCAGCTAGATAGTCGTATCGGAAAAAATCAGGAAAAGATTCGTACGATAAAACAGGCAAAAGATTATCAAGAAGCTAAAGTGAAAGAAACTGAAAATAATATTCGTGAAATGATTCAACAGAAAAAGAATGCCGACAAAAAATGAATGATGGTGGTCAAACACTGCTACTGGTTTGTCAAATTCTATTTTTGTTTTTAAAATTTGTATTTTTCTCTCAACACTAATCTGATTGGAATAAAATCACAATTTTTATCATCATTTTAATAAGATTCGATTCAATGCAAAAAAAAAATCAAATTGATTCGATTTTTCAGTTTTTCGAAAACTTTGTCGAGGTATACCTCACCAGATTTATCCTAATAAACTTTAGAGTCGTACTGTGTTAAAAGGCGTGGCTATTTTTCAATGCATGTGACTTTAAATTGATTGTCACGTGATCATTTCGCATCTAAAACCAAAATGTTTGAATTGAGTGTGCGTGCTTTGGTTGAGTGTTCGATTTCTCCTTCACACATAAACATCGCTGATAGATCGTTTTCTGCATTAAAATTTGTTTAAAGTTTTTTTCAATTTCGGTAAGTGTTATATTGAATTATTTGCCAAACAAAATCAATATTTAAAATGATTATTGATTAATTAGTTAATTCTTCAATCAAAAAATGGGTGGAAAAAAATTCGGCAATCTTGCATTCATTCGTAATGTAATCTACATTCGTTTATCACCATACGAACAAAAGGCATTTCCAAATTATCTTCAAACAACATGGAATGGTTTCCGTCGGGATTTCAACAACATTTTCCCGTATGCTGCACCACCCCTTCTGGCAAGCTATATGCTTTACACATGGGGTAATCAGGAAAATGAACGAGCAAGTCGCAAAAATCCTGCCGATTATGTCAACGATGAATAAATACGAATTTGAGAGTCATGTATAGTCAGTTATCATCATCAAATAGAGATTGTAAGATGAAAGAAGGGTAATAAAAATAATAAAATTTATTTACAAAAATTCAATTACGACTAGTGGTCAATGCGTGTAAACGATCATCAATGCGATCGGTGAATAGATCGCTACATTCCACGAAATCGTTTCGTTGCATCAACTGTAATGATTGTTTACAAAAACATAAAAATCTTTCCAATTCTGAATCGGATACAGTTTTTGTAATGTTCAAATTGTTTGCGAACGGATTGATTATATAACAGGCACTCATTTTTGTCGATAACATTGAGGATTTGGCCAAATCTGTTTGACCGGTTCGCAAATCAATGGCTCGGGTCCAGAAATCATAATCGATTACGAATTGAAAAAATCTCTGTAAAAGCTGTCGAATTTGGCGATCAACATTATCATGTTGTTGTTTGGCTTGAATGTCATCATGTTTTTGTTGCCATTCATTGATAGTCATGATTAAATGTTCACTTTGCAGAAAAGCTATGGCCAAAATGGTTAGCTGAAAACTGGAAAACCAATCACCAGGATAAGAATGAACAATTCCTGTTGGAAAATTTGATTAAGATTAGATTGATTAATCATCGATACATTACCATGATGTTTGGCCCATGATTTAAGCAACAAAATTAGACCACGAATCGATGGACAACTTTGTGAACAATAATACAGATACCTGGCCATTTGAACACCACTATTCGATTCAGTATCGACTGAAATATCAATGTTTATCGATGGCATCAAACGTGAACGACATTTGATAATCGGTACAAATGCACGAAATATACGTTGTATTTGAGGAAAATCCTTGTTCGCCTTTTTGTTGTTCATTTCCATTGTTGATGAAATCGAACGTAGAATTCTGATCGAACGATTTGTACGAACTTTTTGTTGAGATTGAGTTTGCATTTTGTTGACTAAACATAAGTCTAAATCTGAATCATCGGTACCAAAACCAGATACATCCGAACCGAATGGTATCAATTCAAATTGATTATCATTTTTGCATGATTTCCACGATTGTTCCAATTGATGACAAATCTGAAAACGAATCCGATATTGGTCGTCGGACAACAGATTTTGACCTTGCATTATTTTCGAAATTAAATGTTCGATGCGTTTAGAGTCGAATGATGATCCAGGTTTGTGTCGCTGATGTTTTTGAGCCGATGATTTGATAAGATAATCATCAAAATAACCAATCAAATGTTCGGAATCGGCTGTCATTATGCGATAATGATTAATCAAACCATTCGATAGAATATCTGGTTTGATGAATAGTTTGAGTTTGCCGGCGCTCAATTTGGGCCAGATTTGTTGGCGTCCGTTTCTTACCGTGCAGATATTGTTACGAACGGTTGTATCGTACCGGGATTGTAAATCTGAGATATCATAATCAGCAATAACTCATCAATAAATCAATCCAAATCAAACTTACATCGACAAGCATCAGCATAGTGTTGTTGATCACAGAATTGTATGAGCAAAAATCGTTTTGAATATGATCCACCATTGATCGTACCATTCGAATTCAAACGCCATCTCAATATTGATTGAGCTTTCGAATCAAACAATTCATCATTCAATGTGCAATCATCTTTAAACCATAATTGTCGTAAATTGGTCGTACCATCTTCCAATACTAACGAACGACGTGCCCGACATTTACCCTCGATGATCATCTCATTAAAAGTACCGAATTTCCGGCCGCCATTGGTTTTCAACCATGGTGATTGTCGTGTCCCGTGTCGCAACAATGACCACCAAACAATCATCGAGCTCGACATGGTCATCATCTGCTGGTCATGAACCACACATGTTATCTGTTTGTGTGTAAATATTCAGGCAGAATAGATGGCAGCACTCGCTCCATCAACAATAATAATAATGAAATTGATCACGTGATTCGTTCGTCTGTTGTCGTTGACATTATCAAATCTGAGTTTTTGATTCGATTCGATCGATGTGATTCGGACCAAACAATAGATTTGATTTTAATTTTTACTGATTTTAATTGAATAATCATGGAATCGTCTTACCATGTTTGTCGAAAACTTCGATTGTAAGTTTGATTGGTTTGTTTGGAAGCATTTTAACGTTTTGGTTTGTTTTTCACCGCCAGCTATGAAACTCCTGAATATTTTTATCTAATACCAGTTGATCGTTCCAGTGGATCGGATGTCCAAGCGTTGAGCATCAATCGATTGACAAATGAAATCAACGTTTTCTATGGTAAGTTTTGTCTGGTTGTTTGCTTCAGTTTCTAAGCTTAGCTTTTTGCTAAAATGATCTTACCCTTTTTTGCCTGATGACCATTAACCCAAGATACGGAAGCAATTGAACGATCAATTTTTGCCGATATTTGTTATGGAATTTTCGGAATTATACGATTGATTTCGGGTAACCATCTTATACTGATAACCGAAGCTAGTCGTGTTGGTGAAATTTATTCATCCGGCGGTGATTCTATTGTTTATCGAATGAAAAATGTTCGCATCATTCCCTACAGTAACAATCATGAAGCTAGTTTATCAACAAAAACAACGTCGATGGTGTTGAATGATCAACAGAAAGCATACAACGATCGCTACTTGATAATGCTGCAATCAATATTACGAATGCCTGGATATTACTTTTCCTATTCGTATGATCTTTCATCAACGTTACAGCGAACCAGTCGACAATCGGCGCCGAAAAACCAACGGCCGTTACCGCTTATTGAATCAGCCAATATGGAATTTGTATGGAATCGTGCATTACTCAGCCAATTAACGAGTGAAACAAAATTTCATTATTTTTGTTTGCCAATCATATGTGGATTTGTTGCCATCCATCCACAGCTTTTGATCAAACAACGTTCATTTCGATGGGTTTTGATTAGTCGTCGAAGTACAAATCGATGTGGTACACGATGGTTTGCACGTGGAATCAATCCGGATGGTTATGTTGCCAATTTTATTGAGACTGAACAACTTCTCCTCACTGATCGCAATGATCGTTTTGCATTCGTACAGATTCGTGGATCGATTCCATTGTTTTGGTCACAATTACCGAATCTTCGTTATAAACCAACGTTTGTCGTACCAAAAGCACCCCACATAGAAAGCTATGGTCACCATGTTCGTCGTCTGGCACGCGAACATGGTCGTCTTTGTTTTGTCAATCTGATCGGCAACAAAGGATCGGAAGGTCGCCTAGGTAAAGCATTCACCGATGTTGTGAACGATGGTAATTTCAATCGTGGTAATGATATTCCCTTTGTCAATTTTGAATGGTTCGATTTTCATGGCGAATGTCGCCGGAATGGATGGCAGGCATTGAACAAATTGATGGATCAAATTCGTTCGTTCATCGATGAATATGGTTATTATTGGTGGTGCAGTTCGAACAACAGCATTCAAAAAATACAACAAGGCGTCATTCGAACCAATTGTATTGATTCATTGGATCGAACTAATGTTGTGCAAAGTTTGATTGGCAAGTATGTTCTTCGAAAACAAATGATCCAAGCGGGTATCCTTTCCGAATTCGAAATGATTGAAAGCTATCCCGATCTGAATTCGCTTTTTTCCAATATGTGGGCTGATCACGCTGATGTTTGTTCTATCCAATATGCGGGAACTGGTGCATTAAAATCAGATTTTACTCGAACAGGAAAGCGTCGTCTAACCGGTGTGATAGCCGATGGTATAAATTCCTTAATACGTTATTATAAAAATAATTTCGAAGATGGTTTTCGTCAAGATTCTATCGATTTGATTTTGGGCGCTTATCAAGTCGATGAACGTGAAGGTAAACAAGTGAAGTGTCCACTACAGGAACGAAATTTGGTCAAAATATTTTTCCTACCCATTTTCTTTCTTCTATCGCTGGGAATGTTTGCGTGGATTATAATACTTTATGGTAATGGTTTAAACATTGAACAGGCATTGTATTCGCTATTTTGGTTGGCAATGTCGGCCATTTGTTTGATAATAATGTACTATTTTGGTAATGAATTTGCCGATTATCCAACATTGGTTAAAAGGCGACGATGATGATCAACATGCAATCATTGAACACAAATCAGTCTGTCAATCATTGAATTACTCTGTGTTTATTTATATAAAAATTGATAATTTCAAAGTTTTACTTTGTTGCCAATCATCATTTGGTTAGACGAATTCAATGTCGGTGAATGTCCTTGCAATGGGAATATCTTTGCAGATTTCCAATGCTTGATCGACAGCTGGACCATGTGTCAACACTAGAATCACATTCAAGCCGGCCTGTTTGGCTACTTTACCCTGTTCGGCTGATTTGGTCAAAAATACAACATCGGCTGGACTTTGTTTAATTTTGGCTGCAACCTTAGTGAATGTGTCCTGATTGAGTAGACTACCGATGGATGTGTCATAGTGATCATCGATGACCATGTTCAAATCGCCATGTGATGTTTTCGACATGAATTTGCGACTTGCTTCTGCCCAACCGTTGGATAAGATGTACAGTTTGATTCCTTTAGTGTTTTTCCATCGTTGTACCGTGATGGCTACGTCCGAATAGACTGGCGTTGTCAGTTTATTTCGTTCATAGCCATCGAACCAAACTTGAAAGCGAAAGAAAGCCAATGCCTTGATTTCCCGTTCAGTATCGATCAAGTATTGAACATATTTGGCAACTTGTTCGATTTGTTCTTTTTTCTTATTTCGCGAAGCACTTGTGCTGGCACTTTTCATTGAATTCATCGATGTGTTTGAATTGGATCCATTGAGCTGTATTTTCGGTGCTTTTGAATCTTTTTCCGCTGCTTCGGCCAATTTTTTCACCGCATCTTTACATTCCTGTTTGGCCCAATTATTTTCCAAATAGACCCGATATGCAACTTTGAAATAAGGTATCAATAATTTTTCCACAAATGATTCACGTGCTACAGTGCCCGCGATATCAAACAAAACGGCATTTGGTTTTTTAATTTTTACTTGAACCATATTTTCTCTTTTCTATTTTGTTTTGTTGATGCTTTTGCCTGCTCACCAAAAAGAAATGATTTCCAGAAGTGATTGGGCTCCATTCCTTTTCATATAAAAATGGATTAATTCAATTATCCAATTATATCAATCAATCTAATTAACATGGTTGGCGCCACGAGAAAACTTTTCCGGCAACAAGCAATCGGACGAAAAACTTTCCAGCAAATATTGTTTACCACACGTGTGTGTGTGTTGTGGTTACATTTTTGTGTTATTCTGCTTAACTTTACCATGGCCCGAATTCAGGTAGGATAAATGTTGATTGATTGGAATGAATAAATTATGTTGTTTAATTTATTGGCGAATAAAAGGTTGCAATAAGTACACCAATGTGTTGTTCAATGGACAATGGTGGTGGTGATTGTATTGCGGTTTGGGATGTCAGTACTGGCAATATGTTGAGCACATATCGATCGAATGGCCAGAAATCTGCATCCAGTATGATTCCAAGGCATTGTATCGATCGAATTGGTTATCAATATGTGCTGAATGGTTATCAGAATTCTCCATTACTGAATGTTTGGTCATTGGATGGCAAAGATCGTTTACATTTGAAACTGATACTGCCAGGTAATGTTGGAGCATTATGTGTCACACCGGATGGTCATTATTGTTTGACGGCTATCGATACACGTTTGTATATCTGGCAACTTGCATCCGGATATTTATTGGCCCAACTTGATGGTCATTATCAATCGATTGGTGTGATCAAAGTTACTGGTGACCAGTCCTATTTTATCACCGGTGGCGATGATGGCGTCATTCTGATCTGGAATTTCGCCAAAGTTATTGTGCCTGATTCGCGGCCAACATTTTCGGTTATCGATGGTCATTCTGATCGTTTGAAGCCCGAGCAAACAATCACCAATTCATCGACTGCCATCATTGATATTCACGTCGGATCCGTAGGTCGTTTTGTTGTTTGTTCTGAACAATCATGTCAAGTGAAAATGTATCAATTGCCTACCGGCATTCATTTGGCTTCCATATCGTTTCCACAATCAATTGTATCAGTTGTAATGGATCGCATGGAGCGTGCTTTATTTGTTGGATCCATTACCGGTCAAGTTTATGAGGTATTATTCTCACAAATTTGGCAACCAAAACAAAAATCAGATTGTGGTGTACAACATTTTGACTTATCAACCATGATTAATGAGGAAGAAAGTTCGAATCAACGAAACAAACAAGTGATGATTGGTCATACAGGAGCTGTTAATGCAATGGCCATAACTGTTGATGGACAGGCATTATTAACTGGATCGCAAGATCGAACAATTCGTCTATGGCATATCGATAGTCATCAATGTATGCGTACTGTTCAATGTAAAGGACCTATTTCCAATCTGATGGTCGTACCTAGTATGGCTGGTTTATTTCTGTTTGATTCGTTGCAATCATGTAATTATTCCCTCAATAGCACTTTGGATTCAGGAAATCAAATGAGTGATCCATCGCTTTCCAACAATGTTTCGCCATCATCGAGAAAAAGTAGAAAACAACGTAACAAATCAATGCATTCACCACTATTCAACAGCATCTATTCAAGACCGCAATCGATTGAACAGACTTTACGAACATTACCTAATCCCCCGAAACCAATATCACAGGTTTTTCAACGTGATCTATTTCGATTACGATTCAATCCAATTAGCCTGACCCGTTCGCGGGCCAGTCATTCACAACAACAACAACAAATAGAACCAACTGACGATTCCGGTCTGTTGAATGCATTCGAACATGGTGGCTGTTTATGGATACGAAACGATCAAACCTCGGCCCATGATTTCTGGCCTCGATGCTGGTCAAACTTTATGAAACCAGACTTGGCAGCGGATTATTTCAATCAGGTTGGTAGAATGGAAAAAGAATGAATATTTATTTAATGATTATTATTTGTAGCAAATGTTATTCGAAAAACATCATAATAGTGATCATCGAAGAAAAATGGCGACAAATGGTGCTCGATCCATGGTGCCCGACACTGGACCACTGATGATGATGACGAATGATGATGATGATGATGATGATGAGGCAAAGCAGTCGACGATTTCCCAGTTGCGACAAGCCAATCATCAACTATATCAGTTGGCCATTGAAGCGATATTCGATGATGATAAGTCCATGGCATCGATTGCTGCCCAATCGAATGAAAACGTCGGTATCCCCACCACCAACGATAATGGCCCGGTTGAATGCATTGAGCTGGACGAATAACAGAGAAAAGTTATCGATTTGGAAATGAACAAAATGGAGGATTTTTCACTCGATGAATTTGACGGTTTTGCTGTTTGGTGGCGGATTGTCGACGATATCGATGTTTGTTTTGTGCATCGAGTTGCTTGCTGATGTTCGATGATGGTTTGCTTGGTGGATTGGTTGTTCGCTTGGCATGATTTTGAGTTGATTCCATCTGTATGTGTGTGATGTGCATGAAACAAGAATTTTATAGAGTGATATGAGTGAATTATGTAATAAAATTATCAAATGCATTTATAATTCAAATACGGGGCTATCACTGTATATCAAAATCGCTGTATAAATGATGATAGGGTGAATCGTGGTTTGGGTATATTGGCAGCAGTACTATGGTCGTCATCGGTCGGCTTGTTTTCGGTTTGGGTTTGGCGGGTATTGTTGTTGATGAATAGTGCCCAATAGTGACGAAATCTATCGACTAAATATTGGCGGGAAAAGATGGCAGCACCATGTTCAGTATCGGTTTGCAAAGATGATCGTTTTCGATATCTAAATTATTGAAACGAAGTTTTGTTTGGTCATAATTTAGGCACGATTATGATGGATGGATGGGGAAGTTGGTGAATGTCAGATTCAATGTTACCAAATAATAAAAAACATTTCGATTATCTAATGGAATCTCATAAAACTAACTAATCAAATAATTGGCCGAAATCGCCAGAGAATAATTGAATATATTGGTAACATTTTTTTTGAATGTCATTCCAATGAAATGAAATTTTCTAATTGCGTGTCTCTCTCTCTCCGGTATTTTGATTGGAATTGAAATGAAAATATGAGAATGGCCATTATTCGAACAATATTGGATTCAGGTAGGGCGTCCCTTTCAGTTAGTTTGATTACCAAAGCCACCATTGTCTTGGCAGACCATCACGGCGAATTAACCTTGACTTTTGGAATCTAATAATATTTGGTTGTTATCGATAGCAATAGAGAGAATGGCATGAGTGAGATGTATGGTTTGGGATGGCAATTTGATTGTTATTATTGGCTATATTTAGCAGTTTGGAATAGCACTATTCTGAATCTAATCAACTATTTGTTATGAGCATTTTTTGGATATGGGGTAAAAGCAAAGGCTTTTTTAGTGATGAATGAAAAGATAACTTACGAATAATATGCCAGTGCGGCAACCATAACAAACATTAATGAACCTAGGGCTATTAATGCACCGATCAGACCGACTTGGACGCGTGAAAGTGGCTGCGGTGAACGATGATGAGCGACAGTTGTTGTTGCTGCGGGTGGCTGCGGCGGTAGAAGATCATTCGGTTGATTTGATCGCAACGAAGATGATTGATGTCCTCCTCCTCCTTCGATATGGTTACTGGATGATTCCTCATCGAATTTAGATGCAGTTGTCAACGGAATAGCAGTGGTCGGAATAACAGTAGTGGTTATGTTACCGTCGAATTTCGAGTTCAATTTATCGGATGGTAAATGATATTGTGGCGGTTTGTTGACAGTTTCGTCATCCTCATCCTGGTCGTGATTTACTTTCAATTCGGTTTGTTTGGCCGGAGAATTCTTTCCATAAGGTTTTGGTCGATAATTTAGTTTGGATGGCGATGCTTTTTTATATTCAATATCTGGTTCGTCGTCTTGGTCATCTGGTTCGGTCAATGAATTGCCTGCCATCATATCAGCCATGAATGCGGATGACGCATCCGAAACGCATTCAGCAATCCCAACACATTCATCGGTCATCAATGGCTGATTGCAATAGAAATAATTATTAGGATCTGGTCGATAATATCGTATCATGGGTGGGGGCATATCGGTTGTGGTGGAACTTGATGATTGCATTGCATCTAGCATCATGCCCTGATCACGTAGATGAGATTGCCGTTCGAACAGGCGGCACATACGACTGACTCGACCATCGCAATGAATAATACCATCACCGAAACATTGAAATTGTGATCGACGAGCCATACTCATGGTCGGACATATTGTCTCCATACGGAAATGACATTGACGGGGAACGGGTGATGATAGTGGTGGTGGCCCGGCCATCATCAATCCTGGATGACCTGACATTGGCTGTAGCGGTTGGGGCGGTGGTGGCATAAACGGTATGATTGGAGCAGGTCTGGCATGATGATGGTGATATGGGGGCGATGAAGACATCATGGGATGAAACATTGGAATTTGATCGGCCATCAAATCCGGGTGAACATCAGGATGATGATGATGATAATGCGGCGAAAATTGTTCCATCATTGGCTCTAGTGTCATCATCGAAGGAATTTCAGTAGGGCTACTTGTGCTAGTGGATGTGGTGCTAGTGGTGGTGGTGGTGGTGGTTGGTCGTCGACGTTTGAAATAGCCATCATCACGAGAATCATCATATTGAGGAGGAAGTGTTATGGGAACTGTTTCATAAACATCTTCACGTTTTAAAGTAGTGGTCGGCATCTGAGTGGTGGTGGTGGTTGTGGTCGGAATAAGCGTCTGATCGCCACTGTTATCATCGATTTCCACCTCCTCTCCTATTTCGACTGCATCGGGTTCTTCTTCCGCTTCTTCTTCGGGCACCGTTGTTGTGGAATCATCGTCGGCTGATGATTGGTGATGATGGTCCTGTTTTTTCTTTCTGCTTAGTTCCTTGGTTGTTGTTGTGATGTAGGAGGCAGTAGTGGTGGTAGTGGGAGTTTGTGTAGTCGACGTAGTCGATGTTGTGGTTGTTGTGGATGGTTGTTTGGCAGCCGTCGAATGATGATCATAGAACAGAAGTTGTTCATCCCCATTTTTCACTTTAACCTTGATCAGTGTTTTCTTTTTCTTCTTTTTCTGGCCAAACTGATGATTGGAACGGCCTTGACGCATATCCTCTGTGTTTGGATTGATTGTGGTCGTCGATGTGATGGCAGAAGATGGAAAAGTTTTCACCAAAGTAGTCAATCGAGGCACAACGGTTGTGTGCGAATTAAGATTGCCGCCGCCGCCGAGACGAATGTATTTTTTTCGAATATTACGGATATTGGTCACCGATGATGGGGAATGTGGCGGGGAAATAGTGCTGGTAGTGGTCAGATTAAGTCGACGATTGCGATTGATCAAAATCTGTGTGAAATTGATGAATCTAACCGGGCGAATATTCGAATCGCCGGATGATGATCGTTTCGATGATGTTGGTGGTGCTACGAATAGCGATCGAATTGGCTGCCTCAATAACGATGCACGATCTGGATCATCACTATCGTCGTGTATCATTTCGATATCGTCGGAAACTGTGGACAAATCTTCCAACGATATGACCATTGTGTTGTCCGCTGTATTGTTGTTGTCATTGGCAATGGCTAATTTAGATAATGGTGATGTTATGTGACAAACATGTCATTACAGTGTTTACAGAGTGCGATATGTGACAAATCACTTACCGTGTTGAATAGTGATGTTCGTGGAAATGATGATCATAATGGTCAACCATATTGATGATAATGATATGGATCGATGATTAGAAATGACCGATAATCGATGCCGTGATCGAAATGTCGCTAATGTTGATTTCATCATTTGAATTGGCCGCCATTTGTTGTTGTTGAGATTATCATCCATTGTTGTTGGTAATGGTCATCAGAAGACAATCGATCGGATGATGATGATGAAAAACCTTGCCGAATGAAAACAGAATATTAATGGAAAAAAGGTTGAATGAACCCGAGGTTAAAAAAATGTATTGTGTTGTTGTTGATGAAGTATGTGTTTGAACGAAAATAATGACTGTTTTTGATTTTGGTTGTGATAATTACAGTGGAAAAACAAAACTGATGAACAAACACACGACCGTCCTGTGTCCAGTCAGCTAACGAATGGCGAACGAAATGTTTTTGTTGGCCGAATCGATTGTAAAAAGTATGGAGAATTAATTACCATAATGGTGCAAATAGCGAAAGTGGCGGTAATGGTGGGGCAATCAACAAACCAGGAACCAAGAATCCTAATTAGTAGGCTAATCACACTGTTAGGCGCCATAGCCGGTAGCCGTAGTGTTAATCACACTGTTTTGCCCGTGTATTGTGTGTTGGTTGTAGACGGACCAAAGCAAACACAACATGCAAAATTGATTCTTCAATCCGGGTCATGATGATAAAGCGCTATTATGATTGAGCAAGATCATCATCTTCTTTACATAAGCCTGAAATTTGCATCAATGTTGTTGTTGTGTGTGATCATATGACATTAATCAATCAATCAATGCGAATCAATGTCACAGTTTGGTCGATTGATTGCATTTTGGGTCCATTTGGTGCAAGGATAAATGTGCACTGATTTGAGAAAACGATATGGCTGCTGATGAGGTTATTATACGATGACTGACTGACAAACAGTGCTATGCATTATTTATTAATTAATATAAGATAAGGGCATTGTATACGGTAGTCGATCGGTTGAACGGCAGTAATATTGCTAACAATGTAATCAATTGACAATATAGGTCATGTTATGTAATGAAATTCATGTTTTTGCCCAAATTCTCTAATCACGATGACTATCTACATTGGTTTGTCATATTAGCTATTAGCATGTTTTCTGTGGAAAATTAGTGTTATTAGTTTGTTACCCTACTTACCTTTGATGACAATGGAGAGAGACTATGCACACGAAAACATATGTATGATGAGATGATTACTGACAAACAAACACTGTTCCAGGATTTTGCCAAAATGGCTGAAGATCCTCATTGAATTAAATTGGCCATTCGCTGAGTGGGAGTTTATGCTGTCATTTCTCTCAAAATTTTCAATGCAAATGGCGAGTTACACTTCCTAAAAGAGACATAATTCACTGCAGTCGAAAGGAGAGAAGCGCCTTTTATTTGCCCGATTTGTTTGTCATTGTTTGGGAGCAGGGTCCCAAATTAGTGGATGAATAGTGTCTCTAGCGAATTCTGTCATTGTATGATAGCCATGAATTGGAATGAGTCACCAGTGCGTGTGTGATGGCCATAAGTTGATTGGCGACCATCATTACCATAAATGTCAATCACACGTCAAATTGAATGTCCATTTGGATGGAGCCATCCATATCTAGCCATATCTAGCCATATGCCAAACAAACAAACAGTGTGTAATGTTAGACAGGTGTGTGATGTTCACATCATGTGCATATTCAATTCATTCATCCATCATTTCGGGTATGATTGACCGATTGGGAGCGAGAGAAAAAGAGGTGGCACACTAGCAATCCGTCACCTGTGTCACATTTGTTTGTCTGGTGAAGCCTGAATGGAATGCTTCCTTGATCGAAGTCTCTACCGAAACCCTTATCGAATAATGAAAAATTCATTGATGCGAAAACCACCAACCAAACTAACGAAAACCAACTCTGTCATTTTCCATTCGAACAACCATCATATCAGATGAGATCAATGCCACAAAAACCATGTATTATTTATCATCAGTATGGTGGTTCATTTTATGGACATTGCTTGCTTTGGATGGCCCTGCTGTAGATTGCCAATCAATCATGTCGTACGGAATGCGAAGATTGGCCACTTCGTTGAATCAATTTGGTTTGGATTTGGCTCGTTCCATGCATGACAATACTAACAACAGCAGCAGCAGCAACCAAAACTCATCGTATTCGTTTTGCCCATTCTGCGTGGTCACTTCGTTGGCCATATTGATGGCTGGCCTTGAAGAAAACGCGGCACACACCGTACAACAACAGCAACAAACGGATGAAATGTTTCGAGCATCCGTTGATCAACAACCAAACCGACTTCAACTCTACGAATCATTACGATATGGTTTATATTTGAATTCGATGCAACCACAAGAAATTCATCTGGCATTTTTGGATCTCATGCGTCATCTACAGGTCAATCTGCCCGGTGGTTTTCGAATTCAGCCAACTCAGAATTGGGAACTAGGAGATCATCAGTTTGATCCGGGTGTCATGGCCAATGATAATGATGATGATGTTATGTTCACTGTCAACCAAGTGTACGTTCAACGTCACATTCCTATGGATTATCGATTTCACCGTTTGGTACAGCGATATTATCAAACACCGATACGAAGTTTGGATTTTGTTTATGCTGCCGAAGAATCATGGCATCATATCAATGCGAAAGTTAAACATGAAACACAAGGCAGAATCGATCGAATACTTGATGATTCGAAGCTAGGGACCTCTGGTGGCAATGGTCATCATCCATTATCCTCCACACGTTTGTTGTTCCTTTCCGGGTTACATTTTCGAGCCCGATTGGATTTTCGACATTTGGTCAATCCTTTTACCACTCATCATAATGGTGGTCAACGTCGTCGTCGTCGTCGTGGAGCACTGCAACGATTATGGCCATTGCGATCGCCGTTTTTGCCTACAGCGGCTGCTACTCATCCACATCATCATCCGATTTTATTGCCCGGTCTGGTTCATTCGAATCATCATCGACCGCCACCGCTGAATCGACCGCCACCGTTCGGATTGCTTTTCAAACCATGGCTGGTCAACAACAACCAAACATTCACTCCATATCAGACACCATCTATTACGACGACGACTACGACTGCAACAACAACAACAATGTCCACAACAACGTCTAGCACAGCATCGCCTGTCATTGATTCTCGATTATCCTCGACTACCTCGGCAACACCGATAATCGTTTCGAAACCAAATTCCAGTCATTTTGAACATGCAGCATTCAATCCATTCGAACCATATCGACCGTTATTGACACCGAACGACAACAACGATCATCGAATTGCTCACAAGCAAAGAATCCGCCTCCGATATCAACATAATGATTATCTCAACAGTACCGTTATTGAATTACCATTTGTTGGTGGTACAGTGTCGATGCTGATTCTGCTGCCAGACAGTGTCCAGCAGATGTCGCTAATGTTAGCACGATTGAATGGCCAATTGATTATCGATCTATTGCAAACACTGGAAACAAAACGATTGGACATCAGTTTACCACTGTTCACCAATCATAGTCATTCTATTGATCCTGATTGCTTTGATAAACTGCTCACTTCGATCGGTTTTGGCGAACTATTTGCGACAACGACCGCCGATCATTCACCGATTACTAATTCAATGGAACAGAATGCATTCGCCGCATTAGTGCCGCAGATGCGCATCTATCATAAATGTATGATCGACATGGATGTCATCGATGATCATCATGAACTCAACAATTGGATTGGCAGAAGTTCGAGAAGCACATTGCAGGAATATCAAATACAATCATCAGTGTTGCATTTCGTCGACGACCATAATGGTGATGAACGCAAACAAAAAACGCAACCACCACATCAAGACATGAAACATGTGAGTTTGGAGGAGAAAACTTTTCTCTACCTTATCATAGACAATATTTCTGGCCTGATATTGGTGGTGGGCAAACATGAGGCAACTGTATCAGCAAAGAATATGCAATAATCATTGGCTTGATTGCTTTATTAAATCGTGATGATGATGGTCAAAAATGGAAATAATAATAAAATAGAATGATATTTTTTAGTTTTAGTGATAATCTATCAATGACAATTAATGCTTATTAGGGATGATGTTGCGGATCGACTGGCTCCAGATTGCTCGACAAAATTGACACAACACGATCTTCTTGCGGCAAAAACACTGAACACATCGAACCGGATATACTTCGAATGAAACCATGTTGGCCAATAAGATCTTCGTCCTGATGAATAGATTTGATGCGCACTTCCATATCAGTGGACAACCAATCCGATGCATAACCACCGCTTGGATCGGCTCCAATACCCACACCCGGTGTTTGTGGATTGAGATGAGGAGAATTGACATCCGGCGTCATCGGTGAATAACCAAACGGAACCGATGGTGATGGTCCAACACTGTGCGGATTATGGTAGGAAGCACTTCCCGTCGAAGCTGGACTTGGTGCCAGATAACCTGGTGAAGGTGCTATGCCATGCAGATAGCCACTGCTTCCACCTGGTGATGGTGATGTGGTAGGATAGGGCGAATAGGGCGTTGAATCGGATCCGCAATACATGCCCGGAGTGGCCGGTGTATAGGCTTGAGGCGTTTCAGGATTATTGTAGCTCGGTGTATTTGGCGCAAGGAATGTACCGGGCGACGGAGATGTGTCCAGATAGTCTTCGAATTCGGGTCGTGGTGTGGCGCCCGAGTCCCATGCAGGTGTTCGCGATCCATCGTGCAGCGGCGTTCGACTTGGATCGTGTAACGGCGTTCTTGAGCCGGAATGCATTGGTGTTTGCGAACCATACGATGGTGTACGATTGCCCGAGTACGGATTGGGTGTGCTGGCCGCTGAATCCATTCCGGTGGCAGAACGACCACCGGTTGCTGCATTTGGCAAGATACGTCCATCGGCCGTGACCAAGGCAATACGAGTTTTATCCACAGTGATTGTCTGGCAACTGGTATGCAGTTCGACACGAGCTGTTGCTCCAATCGCATCTTTGACGATACCGATATAGCCTTTATAATGACCTTGTGTGATTTTGATTGTTTTGCCAATCAGATTCAAATCGTTACGATCACGGCCAGAGCGTTGAAAACCTTGTCGCGGTGGCATTGGTGAACCACCACCACCACCACCAGTGCCCGCTCCACCACCACTAGCGGCATTACCGCCTGATGGATGTGCAGGTGATTGCATAACTCTGGGCGACATATAACCAGCAGACAAACCGGCTGCAGTTGCAGTTGTTTGCGATTTGGAAGCTCCTTGCAACAGTAAATGTCTGGTTTTGCATGCAAATATACCACCATTTTCCAATACCATACGCGAATAGAGAAATGCAATACCACGATATAGATGTTTGATTTCGCCTTGTCGACCAGTGTACGGGCCATCATGCACACGAACCTGATCTTTCACTTGAATTTGGTTCGAATCTGAATCCAATGATACGGCCCGTTTCGAATCTCGTTTACGTAGGATGGCCTGCGGTTTCACCTGAACAACTCGGTCATGCATGTTCAGCACCTGTTCATCACCGGAAAAATCAATCAAAGGAAACCTAGGTAAAGTGAAAAATCAAACTTACATGAAAATTCTCTCGCTCCAGTCGAACAATGACACCGACCGTCTGGGCATCCAGATGTACCAGATCACCCCATTGATATTGGCCCATAGAATCGACACCGGTTGCCATATCGGAACATAGCTGAAGATCTTTGTGCAGCACTCGAAGTTCGTGCATAGTCAAATCGGAAAACAATACAATCTGGTCATCTTCCACACGAATGATCAGGCCGGTATCACCTTCATAACGACCGGCAATCACTTTGACATGATCACCCGGCTTAAAGTATTTACGCAATTCATGCGGTTGAAATGGAAGCGGTGCATCAAGATCTTCATGATTGGCCAACATTTTGATGAGATTACCCTCGATGGTCAATATTTTACCGGTCAGGCCTTTCAATTCACCGCTGATCACTTCGATATTGTCGCCCGGTGAAAAGGAATGACCACGATCTTCGGCCAATGTGGATTCGGTCAACTGAATTTCCATACCTTCCGGATGTTCTTCGAATCGTTCCAATTCTGCCAGCGTAGGCTTAACACCTTCCACTTGGATAGCATTCATGTTGAATGCCTTGTATAGGAAGCCACGACGATAGCGATTCGATTCGAAAATGATGAAATCTCCATCATTCGTTACTTCACCGCCAATCGATCGAATAGCATCCATATCGAACAATTTGGCAGCCGGTTTTTTGAATCGTTTCTTTTTGTCTGCATCATTTTGGGAATCGTTGCCACCGGGCGCACGAAGTGCACCTCGAAGTCGAGTGTAATCGATACGCGGTATCAATTTGAGATGAACCTGGTTCTGAGCAACATCAACGTAATCCACCTGGGCTAGATCATCTTTGTAGAGGCCACGTTTGAGACGAACCCATTGGCCAACCTTAAGATTGGAAGTATCTTTGGTCACTTTAAGTACTTCGGTCATTTCTGAAATCGGAACCATAGTCTGTTTGTAAAGACCAAGACGTAGATTGCCCACATTCTGAATGGCTTGTTTGACATGTGTTTGTTTGAATGCTTCGATATAGATGTAGCCTTTGATGCCTTCTGGTGCCACTACCGATTTGATTTGCAACGGGTCATCCGAATTTTGATGGGCAATGAATTTACGCATCAGTTGCAGCACGGTTTGCTTTTCCTCTCCAATACGACATTTGACCATCCAAAGATTCGGATCTTTGACGCCGGGCATCAATGCCTGTTGTGAAATATTGTTTGAAAGCTCAGCATCATTGTCGTAGCCATGTGCTGCCGACGTTGGTTCGGCATATTTCATTCGATAATAATTTTCGAGTTGATCTTCTTCGCTGGTCAGAATCATTTGCAGTCGGCGATGTTGATTGCGATCCGATTGGTCGCTGTTGTCCATTTTGTTGTCGATAATGTCCTGTTGGGCACCTTCTTCCCACTCTTCATCGTCTTCGATTTCACTGTCAACTTCGGCCTCTTCCAGGATGAATCCACCATGGCGTGGTTTTTTTCGTTTCTTTTTGCGAGAATTCTTTTTCGAACGTTTATTACTGCCATGTCGAGCCGGCTCATCCGAATCTTCATCTTCTTCATCCTCGTCTTCGTCGTCATCGTCTTCATCATCATCATTGTTGAGATCTTCGCCTTCTGGTTCTTCTTCATCAACTTCTTCTTCTTCTTCGTCATCATCATGACGACGGTTCTGGGTGATATGATTGATAACGATGAGTTGGATGTAGTTGGAAAATAAACTGAATCGCTTACCTTGTCGAATGAATCGTCAGAATCGGACATTTTAGCGGTAATGCTGATGAAATGTGGTTCAATTAATTCGGCGAAAATGGTGTGCAGCGGTTGAGTGAGACAAAAACCAAACAAAAAGCCCACTCAACATTTCGATACGACCTATATGAAGGGCATCATTTCGTTTGATTCATTCGTTCGATTGAAACATGTCGAATATTATCATCATCAAATTACAAATCAAATTAAAGGATTCATCCAACAATTAAAAACAAACTTTTGAAAAAATGAATAATTTTATTCAGTTAGATTCAGACAATGATTGTTGAATTTGGGATAAAATTGTATTTGCTTTTGACAGACAGTTTGGTTGGGTGATGAAACAATCTGATCGACACACGGGACAAACTGGTTTGCTGTTTGTTGGGGAATGTTGTTGAGTTTGAAGATATTGTTCAAGACAAACACCACAAAAATTGTGACCACATTCGGTTGTAATCATCATTTGATTATCACCAGTGTCCATACAACATGCACAGCGAAATGTTTGTCGAACAATGGTAAGGAATTGCTCCCGGTTTGCATATTGTTGAGCCAATATGTTTGCCCAGGCTTGTCGATTAGCGCTGTCGTTATCAATCAATTTGATCAATGATTTCGGTATATCATACTTTTCTGTGATTGGTTGATCGGCCTCAGATTGAATTTGATTCGACAAAATTGTTCGCGATTGTTTGGCCCGTATCCCGGAATCTATAGTCCAGAATCGTTTCTGTGCAATCGAGCGACACCATCCCGGTGGATACTGTAATTGTAGACCAAGTTTTTTCATCCGATAGCGACCAGCATCGGTCCAAGGAGCTGGTTGAGCGTCGTCACGACGAAGCAAAAATCGCCAGATTCGATGTCCATTGGTGGCTGCTTCAAACCAATAACTAACTACTTTATAAAGGCCGTCATAACGAACACCGATTTTTGGCAAAAACCGTGAACGACGACCATGTTTTGCCGGGCGACGGCCATTTCCACTTCGTAACACTCGAATCGGTGGGCCTTGTTTCCATAGATTTCGATCAGGACCATTAGCAGTGGCGCCATATTGTTCGTTCACTGGAACCGGACAATTTCTTGCCAATGCCAATGCGTCACGTTCCAATCGACGATTATCATCAGCCGCAGCAGAAGAATGTCCAATGTTTCGACTGTTGTTGGCAGTATAGTAGATTTCATCGCCTAGATCAACATCTTGCGGATTGATTGCTGCAAACACCAACGAATAAACGCCCAACGATTGACTGCCATGAATACCGGCCACTAATGGTGCATGAACACCAGCCTCGGATGCTTGTACACGAAATCGCCACCATGATCCGACTGGCACGCCCGCAATAGCGCCAAATGTCTGCGATTCGACCCGATTTCGATGTTTGGAACGGGCAGCACAAGCCATTCCATAACCCCATCCTGTTGTTTGATTGTTTTGTTGACGTTGTTGCAAATGTGATTGTTGTTGTTGGAGCAAATCTTCACTGGTTTCATTGCGACATTCATCACAATACCAATCATCATCGTTATCAGGAATTTGATCTAATGGTTTCGCCAAACACCACAGATGTGTTGGACGTTCGCATTCATCGCACACCAATTGTTTGTCTGGATCAGTTTTCATTCGACAAATGTGACAACCACATTTGGAACATTGCTGGATGGCTGCATCATCAGCACATTGATCACAATCTGGTTCGATATAACCTACAGCAGTGACGGGATTGATAGTGTTATCCAAGGAACATTCGATTGTTACTTACGATCGATCGCCGAACCATTACGGACTATCGAATCTAATTGCGAACATCGTTCTGCGATCGGAACGTTAGATTCAAGATGATAGATGTGGCCATGACGATATCGGATCTGTTGGCGAATGATAGGCATTTCCGATCCATGTGTGACAAGCGCTAACCAGATACGCATACAAAACGCTTGACGGCTATGTTTGATCGTTTCGACCGCAGCCGCATACCATTGATGGTCATGTTGGATGTATGCCATCACGGTTTGTCCTGGTTGTAATTTGTCTTTTTCGATCATCCGGTATGGTTGTGGTCGAATCTGACTTAATGGACGAATTTGATCACAACCGAGAGATTGTTTTCGAAATGTTACACAATAGTTTACTGTTTGGTCGGTGGTGGATTTTGTCATGCGAACGATTCGAGCTGGAAACCAGGATCCAGTTTCCGGTTCGAATGCATCGACATGATCGCCCACCTTGTAATAGTCATCTTGGTCGATTGATTGATGATGATGGTCGATGTTGCTGTTGTCATTGGATAGTGATTGAACAGTGTTGGAGGAAGTAGTTGATGGGGATGTTAGCATGACATGAATGACGTCATCTTGGGAAAGGTCATAAGTTTGAATGGAATATTGATCCTCGAGTTGTTGTCCATTGAAGAACAGTCGAATTGAGTCATTATGGCGGGATTTATCTGGCCATAGTTGTTGTAATCGCTCGCGAATCAATTGCCGCAGCAATCGAATCGGATGATGACGAGATGGATACCACCATAGATCGAATTTCGAATCATCATCACCACTGACTAGTTGACATTGAAATCTTATGCCCGGCATGATGATGTATTGGTTTGGATATCGATCGATCCAATGAATGAATCAAAGTGACTGGGATGCATATTTGTCACATTCAAAATCAATTGCAAATCATCATCAGCAACCAAAGGGTTGAACAAAATACTAAAAGTAATCAACCAAACCAAAATGTGGACCGCCTCGATCCAAAAAAAGAACTGCTGCTTGGTGAGAAGGGTTGAAAGTTTGGCACGCGAATCGAACCAACACATCTGTTGCATCTTTAATGGTTTTTTTCGACAAATTTTTTTTGCAATTTTTTTCAACCCGATAAGGGTTTTTTATGCAGCGAAAAAAATTGTATAGGTGATATACGCGTGTCCCGGCCAGATGGTTTGATTTCTTTTTTTTTTTTTTTGATTTTTTTTTGTCATTCGAAACCGTTATCAAATTACTGACACCCCATTCAAGTTCGTTTGTTTAAAATTTATTTATTATGAAATCAGAAATTGAAAAAAAATTTGAAAATGAATAGAAAATGAAAAAAATTTGAGGATTTCAAAAAACGAAGTTAGATTCGATTGGCGAGAGAGAGAGAGAGAGAGNATACGCGTGTCCCGGCCAGATGGTTTTATTTTTTTTTTTTTTTTTTTTTTGATTTTTTATTGTCATTCGAAACCGTTATCAAATTACTGACACACCATTCAAGTTCGTTTGTTTAAAATTTATTTATTATGAAATCAGAAATTGAAAAAAAAATTTGAAAATGAAAAAAATTTGAGGATTTCAAAAAACGAAGTTAGATTCGATTGGCGAGAGAGAGAGAGAGAGAGAGCGCGGTTGAAAAATCCGATTCGAAGGAAGATGATGAAAAAACAGAGAGAGATGTATGTATGTGTTGTTCATAAATAACGTTACAATAAATGGATGATTTGGATCGATGATAGAGAATCGCTGAGAAAAAAATCGATTTGGAAAAAATGAATAAATAGAGACATGGGTTAGGCGAGATTAAATAAATAATGTGACGCAGACGAAAGGATTATAGTCTAATGATGCAAACAAAAATTGGCTATCGCTATTTGATCGGGTTGATATGCTGGTGTGTGGACGCTTCTAGTTGCCGAATTTCGGTCCAACATAAGTAGGCGATGGTAATGCTGCTGCTGCTGCCGACGACAAAGACGATGAGGACAAGGATGAGGATGATGATGATGATGGCACCATTTTGAGCGGAGATGAGATTCGGGATTGGAAAACATTCGATTGGTAGTAACTGGCACCTTCATCACGTGATCCACCATCATTGTAACCATCACGGCCATCAGTGTCATCATGAACATTGGACATCCACGATGAGTAGGCACCGTTGGGCTGTTGAGATGGAACATTATTATTTTGGTTGGATTGCTGACTGCCTCCCTGCGACCAAATAGCATTGTTAGGACCGACAAATGGACGATCCAGGTTGTTGACAGGAACTTGACCCGAATGCAATGGCCGTTGTTCGTTTGATTGTTGCAATGGTGACGACCATTGATTAGCACCACTGTTCGAACCGCCAATAGTGTAGGTGCTGGCTATCGATGGTATCGATTCAGACATGGATGGTCCATATTGTTGGGATTGTTGATGTTGTGGCTGTTGATGATGGCCGTGTGTTGGTCGATACGGTACTTGATCCATTTGCTGTGGATAATGCGAAGAGGCCATATGCGGATTGTGTGCTTGATGATGGTGGGCATTCGGGTGAGGATGGTGATGAGAGGGGTGGTGATGGTGATAAGTGGTCGAACCATATCCATAGTTTCGACCGTACATCGAACCAGAACCCGGCCCGGCGGATGGACGTTCGATTGGCGATGACCAGGGATTGGCACCAGCAGACATGAATGAGGATGACGATGGCATTGCTACAAACGATGGACGATAGTTGGATGCCGAGCCATACATCATGTTGGTAGATTTGGGTCCAGTACCATATAGATAACTGGTTGGATTGTTACCATTGCCATAGATGGAACTAAATTCATGCATTTCACTCGGACCAGGACCAACAGAATTGGAGCCAGCAAAACCATAAGGTGCTGGTCGGTATGAATATGAATAGGATGAGCCTGATGTCATCATGGGGGAATTGTTATTGTTTTCATTTCTGTTGAAAATGGCCAAAATTAACAAAACAAATCAGCTTGGGATCAAAGTTGGTGGGGATAAACAAACCTATAGAATATAGCATTCATTATGCTACGTAGACGACTTGTCAACGATGAACGACGACCACCAATCGGCGTTTGCGATGATATTGGCCGCAACATGGACATGAGTGATGATGGGTTAGTCATAATCATTGATGACCAACTTGTTGGCAACGTCATCCATGATGATGATGAAGGTTGGTTGGACGATGACAGCAATGAAGAGAGCAGTGCATTGGCCGATTGTTGTTGACTGGACGATAGGGGCGATGATGCGGATGCCGCGGCTGATGGTGCTGATGAGCCACTTTGGGCCGCTAATGCTGCCTGAATCAATGCCTGATAAGGTACCATCATATTGGTAGCAGATGATGCCGATGGTTTTGTATTGGATGATGTGGGCAATGATGATAAAAATGATGATAGGTCATTCGTATAGTACGACGATGAGGATGACGATTGCGGTGAGGATGAATCGACCACCGATGATGGGTCAGATCTGGCCACTTGATTTCTGGCCGAATTCGAACCATTTTGAGCAACGACGTTCGATGATAAAGATTCGCAACTCACATGCGCAGTCAGCAGCAGTAGAACTGATAAAAGGAAAAAATTCTTCTGAAACAAAACGGAATTAGAAAAAAGGACCATCATGGCTGAAGATGGACGAAATACATCCAAACATTTGGTCATCATCATCACGTCTTTGGTCAGTTGGCTGTGTGGATGGAGTTTTGGTTGGATGTGATTGATTGACGATGATGATGAGCGAACGTTGTTGTCTCACAAGTGACCATCACACCAGCAAATGATGATGACCAAATGGCATAGATATCGGTGGCGGTGGCTAGTTGTACCCGTTACCCGTTTGTTTGCTTGCTGCAAAACCGGTCATTGGTTTTTAGCCTCTGGCTAACTAGCTGACTGAATAGCGAACTGAATAACTAACCGACCGACCGATATAATTAATTCACCCTGCCTGGTCAGTCAGTTGGCGAGCAAGAGAGATGGCTTTACTGGCTTGGCTAACTAACTAACTAACCGGATATGTTAACATCATCAATGTGAATGTTAATGTTGGTATTTAGGTCAATGATGGAAAACATCTTGTGTTGTTGGTTGGCCATCTTTGCATTCGATATTCGACAGTTCTCAGTCAAAATCGAATGCAAGGATGTTTTGTGAGGAGAAAAAGAAAATGTTTTGTAGAAAGAATTGTAAATATCCAACTTACCATGTTGATAGTTTGTTGATTTGATCGGTCGATCGTAGTGATTGGTGGACTGTGGATTGAAATTTGTTTGTTGTTTGTCAAATGCAATGACTTGGAGATAAGCTTTGAAGATATTAGTTGGCTTGACATTGACACTGGTCAATATGAACCTATCAAGACTCTCACTAAATGACACTAAACGGACAACGACTACGACCACGATTCGACGATGTCTGCTTCATCAAACGATCTGCTCGAGAATGTTGTTCAGATGTTTCCTCGCATGACATTCAAACCCACGATACCCGATTTCGCCTTTTCTGCTAGGCGTCATACAACCAAACAGCAACTCGTTCTCTCTCTCTTGGCGAAAGATTAGCCAAGTGCTGTGCCTGATGCTTATGTAGGTCAAAACCAAGGGCATCTTAGATAGATGGGATAGATAACCGGCAAGCAAACGAGAGATAAACTGGTAAGTCGACTTGAACAACCAAAAAAAAGAAGGGAAAAACTTGTTTCACTTGTTTTGACGATGTTGCCTGCCTGCCTGCCTGCCATCATCATTATCAAACGACCAAGATGATGATGATGTTATCGTTGGTGCTCATTATGGAAATCATCTCTGTCGAAAAAAGGCTACCGGAAGAGGTTAATCTGACCTTGATCGCATCATTAAGGAATGTTTGGTTCAAGTGGTGATCCGGTGATTGATTGATTCAAGTGGTGATTGATAAGCCGATTATTATGACTGGTCAAGTATGGAACCAGGAGAAAATCTGGATGAGAGCATGAGAAACGTCCTTGTGTGGAGCGTTAATTGACCTTTGTAGTGTACTATAGTTGATTGTCTTGTTGTGTGTTGTGAGTAACATATTTTCCATCAATTTTCATGACAAATGGTTTTGGCCAGAAAGGTGTTAATTAGCAGAGCCTATTGTTGCGAGAAAAAGCAGCTGCGCCATTCATTTCAATCAACACTTGTGGTGTATTGTTGTAATTGTTGTTCGAATTTGGCTAGATTGGATTGTTGTTAGTTAGTAGTTAGTCAAGTTCGAGAATTGGAGAGAAGAAGCAAAACCATATTTAAGGCAAGATGATTAGAGTAAGCGAATCGGGAGATGGATTTTCTGTGCTGGTTAGCGGTGATTAATTGCTGTATTGGCAGTGCATGGATGGAAATGGATGAATGGGCCAACTGGGAAATAGCAATGCGAGAAGCACGATCCACCGTTCAATGTGGCATTCAGTATGAATATCTATCGAAAACAATAGGAATGTCGGTGGTGAAAAGTCGTCTATATCAATTCATAGTGGAGGAGAATAAAGTGAATGTTATCATCTATGAATTGCAAGCAACCAGCTCACACTTTGATCGAATGAATATATCGAATGGGGGCACTTTTGCACTAGAACAAATCGATTCTGATCTCGATGCTGTCATCACCGAGCTTTTGAAGCTTATTTCAACAAGCGAATTTCATTTACATTTTGCCATTTGCTATTCGGCAATTCAAGAAAGAAATCTATACGATGTTTTGATTGTTGATCAAAAAGATGATAAATATTATTCGATTGCGGATTTCCCGTCGGGTGCAGCCGATTTGGCTAGCGGTAATTGGGAAGCTGAAATTCACCTAGCTGTTATAAGTGGTACGGAAACTATTTATGTTGTCAGTTCACTCATTGGCTCGGGACGATTTCAAATCACTGAAATGCGAAATTCAGAATCGAAAATTAAGCGTTATCTTTGCGTTATCGCTACCACCGGCAATGATTTTGTCGAGTCGTTTGAAATGTACTGTACCAGCAAGCCTTGCCCTACACCGATGGCAACCGAACATGTTTTGACAAACGTTGACTTTGGTTATACAACACAATCCATTACGGTACCCATTTATCTCTATCTGATTTCACGCAGTAGCCGCACAGTATGGATGGTAAGCGAGGATATTCTTATGGATAACACCGAACGGCATTACCCACTGAAGAAATTCACATTCCAACAATACTTTCGTTGTGCCAAGAATCGTTGGCACGTAGTACCTGTGTTGAATTTAACCGACCAGAATCAAGCAGTCGTCGCTTGGTCAATGGTAGCGCCAATATACCTAGTCATATTAACCACATTGACCATCATTATGTACTGTTTGATACGCTTTTCTCGACCTCCACAATATCGACGACAAAGAATTCTGCTGCCATCATTATCATCTTCCATCAATCCAGCCTCGGAAAGCAAATCCCAATCGCAAGAGGACAACGACGACGACCAAAACAACAAACAGTCAATGTATCCAATGAATACCAATCGACCATTTAACCAAACCTAACTTTGATCGAAAATTTTGATGAAATAAAATTGTTATTCCAATATGATTGCCATCTGTCGACGATCAAACTAAGTTGCAAGGATGGCATCTCACCCGGTTATATAACGGTAAATATACTGTTATAGCGAGTACACTGGCACTGTCACTGTTTACTTGCCAGTTTGAGCATTGCTTTTTGACGCATCAATGAACCAAACCCAGGCCAGTGAGCGAATCACTATTGAGATGTTGTTTTGATTAGTTTGGTTCAATTCTTCTGTGATGTGGTTCTAGTCAAACAGTTGCTGAATTGAATGGCAAACTATTTACGACGAGAAATACGAGGTATTTCGGGTTTGGCTTCGGTAGTCGATTCATCTTCTTCGTCCTCATCATCTGCATCGGTAGCTTGTTCGGGTATCAAATCTCCGTCATCAAGCAAACCGGACCCCTGTGGTCAACAACCACCGGCATCGGCGACAAAAGCAATAAATCGCCTAAGTCGAGTGGTGATACATCCGCAACTGCATCAACAACACATGAAAAATCTATGGAAACATTATCGTAAGTGAGATTGATGGACAGTTGTGTTGGTATAATGCCTTTTTCTAGTGTACGAATTGCAGCAACGATCACCGACACCGAAACGTGTGGTTTGCCCCTTCACAATACGATCACGGCCTTCTTATTATGGCCGTGAATTTCATGGAATCATGTCCCGTGATGAGGCCGAACAAATTCTGCTGGATGACGCCAAACAAACGGCATCTGGCCAACACCAACATGATGGTCGCTATTTGATACGAGAATCGGCCCGACAAAAATCACAAATGACTTTGTCGTTGCGTTTCAATGGTCAGACGAAAAATTTTCGACTGTTTTACGACCATCAAAGTGGCCAGCATTACGTCAACGAACTGAAACGTTTCGATACGGTTCACGATCTGGTCGCCGATGGTTTGATCACCCTGTACGTGGAATTACATGCAGCCGATTATATAGCCAATTTGGCTAGCGAGTGTCGCTACGAAGAATCGCCGTATATGACGCTGCATAAAGATCGACTTGTAATGCGACCACCGTTACCACCGCCGCAGTCTTCGGCTTGCTCTTCAAACGCTCAACAACAACGACGATCAACGTGTTTAGAGTCATCTTCTTCGTCGAATGTCCAGATAAAACCTATTCCAGCGGAAGAACTGTGCCTGCAAAAAGACGATGATGATTGCTGTGATACGCTGCAACGTAAATTTGATGTGCGCCTCTATGAAAAATCGCACAATTTTCGAACCCATACTTTCATTGGGCATCCTTGGTGTGATTTTTGCGGCAATTTCATCTGGGGACTAATTGGACAAGGTGTTCGCTGTGAAGGTTTGTATCGCTTTTAGCATTCTAAACATTGGACGTTAACACAAAACAAACAAACGTAGATTGCGGATTTGGAGCCCATCGCAAATGTTCGGAACGGGTTCCGAACGATTGTTGTCCAGATTTGCGTCACATACGTCGAATGTTCGGCATTGATTTGACAACATTTTGTAAGGCTAGTCAATCGGCGCGTCCATTTGTGGTTGAGCTATGCGTTGCCGAAATCGAACGTCGTGGTGGACTTCGAGTGGAAGGTCTTTACCGGGCTTGCGGTTCGTCCGACGAGATAGATTTGTGGAAAAATCGATTCGAAACCGATTGGGAACACACTCCCTTGGCTCAAATAGAAGATATTCATGTTGTGACCGGTCTATTGAAGCTTTATTTGCGTTTGCTGCCAATTCCATTGATAACATTCGAATCATATCAGCATTTCATTGAAGCTGCAAGTATGTTCATCTGACCATCTTTATCGATAGTGATTGATTGTTTTTTTGCGCCTGTAGAGAAAAGCTGCCAAGAACAAGCCGTTCAAGGATTGCGGCAAGCCACGCAGCAATTACCACCGGCTCATTATCAGACGTTGAAATTCCTTCTGGCCCATTTGAACAAGTAAGTATTGTGTACTGTAGATGCTGTTTTGATACATTTATCGTTCATGGTCGATTAGAGTGTGTGCCTACGAAGATTACAATCTGATGTCGGCCAAAAACCTGGGACTAATATTTGGCCAAACATTGATCTATACACCAAACATTCCAATGATGTTTCAAATGATGAATTGTTGGGAATATGAATCGAAAACCATCGAATTGATGATACTGTTTTATGAGAAAATCTTTATTAAATAAAATAACATTCAACCAATCATCATGTCTCTTTTTCTATTTATTTATCAGTTTGGGATGTGGTGTCCAATCTCACTTGCATTGCAAATTGACCAAAGATTTTTCGTTGTGTAATAATTGTTAGTCATTGCCGAATTCTAATTTGTGAACAATGGCATTCCATTCAATTCAATTAAACTTTTCACTAATTGAAAACAAAACAAACGTAAATATTTATAATGAACGATCGAAATGAATTTTCAAAGTGTGTTTACTTGCCGGTGCCTTTTTTGAGAGCAGTCTGTTGGCAAACGTCATTACCATATGATATTCGATTATATCTTCAATTTGATATTGATGATTATATCGGATATCAAACGGATAATGAAATGACAGCGACTGCAACACAGAAAGATGTAAGTATTATTTATTATGATTATATTCCATATGCTTATTTTAAAACATTTTTTAACAAAGCAAATCTGTGAAAGTCTCAAGAATACGAATGGCACCGAATGCAACATGGTAGCAATTGGGAAAACATCCAAACGAATAGTATTGGCAACAAAGGATTGCTTTGCGTATGATGTTCCAATCAATTCCTTGGATGGGCCCATGATAAATTACACCTTCCAACCAAATAAATATCCCCTTCCTCATAATAATAAAAACTTTATTAATAACAACTAATCCAATAAATCTTCAATAAATAAAAAATATGTTAACAAACAATCGTATTATGTTTCCAAATATTATACAATTGATGCTATTTTCATTTGCAACAGCCACTATACCAAACAATAAAGCAATCAATTAATGATTATGACTCTGTTGACGAATATTATTACGATTAACTAATTGTTCAATTGGTTCGAGAAAAATTTCAATTTGAGAATAATTCTAGAAAACAATTAATGATATTATTTGGAAAATTTTCTGAAAAATTAATTCTTTACCTTATTGTTGACTTTATTCTCTGAACAAATCATAATTGATAACAATGTCTAATGGGAAATGGATTTATGTCATGTTCATGATTTTGATGATTACATCGCACACCCGAACAGATGATGATGCCACAACTGATGAACTTCAAAAATTGAAAGTGTATCATCCGCCAAAAGATGTAAGTAGTGAATTGTTTTATAATAGGAAAAATGAATGAATTTGATTTGCTAATCATAAAATGTTTCTTGAAAACATTAAAAAACAAGAAAATCTGTGCAAAAGAACTTCATACATTTATAGATTTAAACACAACAATAGAATCGTATATACTGGTAATGGGAAAAACAAAAAAGCGAGTATTATTGATAACAAAGAGTTTATTTGTATATGATGTTCCACATGATTTCTTCGATCCTGTTGGAGTCGCGGTATACTTAAAATATATGCCAACACCAATGAAGGATAAATATCCTGTCCTGTATTATGATCCCCTTTTTCAAAGTATCAAAAATGAAATTAGTGCATGGATTACGTATGATAGTGATGGTGATTGGATTTGTATGACTAGTAATGACAGTAAACAGGGAATCAACTATAATATCGATAAATCAGAAGTACATAAAGGATTTGTTTTGAGTGGAGAATGGCCAGAAACATTGATACCAACTCAAGAACCATGCAAATTCTATTCCATACAAAGAAGAATAGATAAGGTAAATATTATTAGTACCACCAAAACGGCTCTTTGGCTTACTGTTTACAAATGCAAAAATGGTGATCGCATAATCAACTCGAATGGAATAGAAAAAGTGACAGATTTTAGAATGCTTTGTTATAATGGATTTGATGTTTGGATAACAAAAGCGAAAAAGTGTGAGAGATTTCGTGCATTAGAATGGCCATTTGGGTCCGGTTTCGTGTGTGATGGAAAATTTTTTATAATCGGGGTTGTTGCTGTTTATGTATTAAGCGAGAATCTTTTTAATCAGGCAGGAAAATCATTTCCAGGGGGTGAATATTATCCACATCATTTCTACAATTGTACCGGTATTATTCCGCCCAATAAAGTAATTTTCAAATCATGTGAGTATCGGATTGATTGTGACATTTTTGTTGTTGTAATCAATTTTTTTGTCGTTTGTTATGAAGATTTTTATTGGATAATTGCCGCAATAATATTATTAGTAATAATAATAAGCAGTGTATATGTTGCACATCGATCATTGGCAAACAGAAAAAAGACCCGTTCCGGTTTGGAGAGATCAAGCAAAATCAGTTTATCAAAATCGTCCATAAAAGTAGCTAGTAAACGGAGTCTCAAAAGTAAAAGCAAAAGTAAGACTTCCAGAATTAAAAGTTCCAGTTCAAAAAATACCAGCAAATCTGGACGGGTTGGAAGTAGGACATCACTATCCGGTATATTGAGAAAAGCAACGTCGCCTGGCAGCCGGAAATCACTGTCCGGTAGATTGAAAAAAACAACTTCTCTCGGCAGTCGAACATCACTATTCCGAAGATCAAGAAAAACAACTTCGCCTGGCAGCCGAACATCAGGTAGATCAAGAAAGGCAGCTTCTCCGAGTGGTCGAACATCACTATCCGGTAGATCGGAAAAAGCAACCTCTCCTGGTAGTAGGACGTCTTTATCCCGAGGATCAAGAAAAGCAACATCACCAGGCAGCCGAACATCACTATCCGGTAGATTGAGAAGGGCAACTTATCAAGCCAGCCGAACCTCACTAAAAGGTAGATCGTCAAGACCGACCTCTCCTATGAGTAAAATGAGCAGTAAAATTAGTCTGAATCGATTGAAACGTTCAAAGTCGCGATTAAACAGCATCAGTCGTGGTGGATCAACATCCAAGCTAGCCAGTTTAATAAAACATATTTCATAATCATTTTTATTCGGTTTTTTAATGCTAAATTTCTCCTTGATGAACTTATTTTCCGTTACCCGAATCAAAAAATTTAGTTCTTTTAGTTCTTTATTTTGAGCCCGCCGTAGCAAATATGCTTCGTTTTTGTTTTTACATATAAACAAATATGAGTCGTTTTAAAATTTAATACCATTCGAAGTTCTATTTTAAAAAATTCCATGGGCTTTGGTTAAAGATTTGTTTCCGAAGCTCTGGTAGCGAACGTGTTAATTGTAGAAAGGCATGAAAAAATTTTAAAATGGTTCATTAAAAATTTTTCTAATTTTTATAGGGTTGCCAGATACGGGGAGGACAGGAGGACATGTCTTCCTTTCAGAGCTTTTTTCGCAAGGATTACCCATAAGAGCCATTTAATTTAGCCTGGATACATTGGAATGTCCTCCCCTGGCCTTCTGCCCAACTGGTAACCCTATTTTTAACTCTTACCACTCCAATGTCCCCTCTGAGGGGACATTTTGAATTAGAATTTTTTTGCCTGGAGTGGTAAGGGTTAATATATTATATTGTATTGAAATTGGTAAAATACAATAATCAAAAAGAAAAATTAATATTAGAATGTATTACACAAAAACACATTTGTTAGAACAATCGAATTCATTCAATTCGATTATTCGACTTTGTTTCATGGCAGTTAACAAGAAAAAAAATTATTTTGTTGAAAATTGAATTAATGAACAAATTAAACTGTTCGAATTGGCAACAAATCATATGAAACCGTTGATAATACACGATAGGATCAAGGTTTTGGATAACCATTTTTATTTATTTTATTGTTATTGTTTAAGTCGTACTTAAGAAATCTGCTTGAAATGTATTTATCAAATACAATGAAATTTATTCATGTCTTCAATTTGATTTTGTTGGTTACATCGGAAATCCAAACGGATAATGAAATGGAAATGACTGCAGTACAAAAAGATGTAAGTATTATTTTCAATAGATATTATGAATACATTTGATATGCTAATTTTAAAACATTTGATAACAAAGCAAATATGTGAATTGCTAAAGAATAATAATGGCACACAGCCTAACTTGTTAGCAATTGGAAAAAAATCCAAACGAATATTATTGATAACAAACGATTTATTTGTGTATGATGTTCCGATTGATTCTATGGATCTAATTGATGATAAATTATACCTACCAACAAAGCCAACACCAGTCCAGAATAAATATCCAATTCTTTTCAAAAATCAAGTGTTTCTTCGAATTCTAACATCCAGTTCAAATCCTAATGCATTGATAATAAACGATGGAAAAAATGATTGGATTTTTTTTAACAAACCGCAAGCAGAAACAATGTTGAAAGTGCATTATAACATCGACACTTCGGAAGTGTTTTTTGGATCGGACCACTATATTGAAGAAAACAAAGTGATTGTATCAAGCAACAAACCACGTCATTATTATTCATTAATTCGTGAGAATAATAATTTGTACATGAATATTGATCGATATGATGAAGATGGAGATTTCAAGAACATGTCAATCATACCCTCCGAAGGAGATAAGTATTTGATATGTTTACGAACAAACACGACAATTAGAATGGAAAAGGAAGTTAAATGTCGTTCGGGCATTCCTGTTCAATGGCCAATATTGAAAGGATTTGTTACTAATAACAAATTCTATTTATTCGGTCATTCATGCATCTACATTTTCGATGAAGATGCTTACAATAATCAAGGAAAAGAATATCCATTGCAAAAAATAAGTTATGATTCTTATTTTATATGCAAAGATGATAAAATTCCAACAGAAATAAATCGACAGCAAAGAAAACAAATGGACAGTAAGTTTGCTATCAAGTTTGTGATTGAAAATTGAATTTAATTGATATTTATCATCTTCACAGTTATTCAATATGTATACCTTGTAATAATGATCGTGCTCTTTATCTTATCACTAAGTACAACATACGTAATATTGAACAAATGGATTCAAGACGATAGAGAGGCGAAAAGGCTAATAATAAAAAAATCAAACAAACAAACTGGCTCAAAACGTATCATAAGCAAGCAATCATATATCGATCCATCCGTTTTAAAGCAAGCTAGTATCTTTCCATCGACTATGAAGCACGCTAGTAGTAGCATTCCATCGGCTAAAAGTAGTATCATTGAACCGGTTAAAAAGCAAGTTAGTATTAGTATGAGTTCAGCAGTTATGAAAAAAACATTGAAAAAATCGGAATTGTCGAAAAATTGGACAAAGAAAATGAAAATGTCGAAAATGAAAATGGTATAAATTGTTTTTTGGAAAATAATAGAATAAATGATATTTTTTAAATAAATCAATAAATTTCTGAAATATTATTAGCTGTGTTGAATTTGATATAGGCAATATTGCTCAATTCTAGCAATTGAAATGCTGAACAAATTGAATTAGATTCAACAATCAATGAATTGACAACGAGTAAGAAAATTTTGTGCTGAAACCTGTGAATTGTTAGTTATTGAAAATTCGAATTTATCAACCAAATTGATTGGCAAATTAAATTTCTCGAACTTGACTTTGGTTGGAAATTCGATGGAGTAGTGATGTTAGAGGCCAACCTAGCTTTCGAACAATTCAATTATAATTGTAAGTTCGGTAATCGAACTGCATAACAGTATTTAAGTTCAAAGAAATGTTTGAATAAAATGCCTTTTGTTTGGAGAGTAACATTTCACTTGTGCGATTTCTTTAGCATTTTCTCTACCAGAGCATTCTCATCTTATAATGATCAAATATTGTATCAACTATCAAGCATTGGAAAATTGGCTGCAAAGCAATCTTGCAGTAAGGGAATTACCAAAAACAATTTCATGTTTTTTATTTCAATTTCCAACCAGAAAAATTTGATTCTCATAATACAAATCAATAAGGAAAGGGAATTATTATTCATTAGTTGGTAAGAATAATAATGTTGTTGAATATTTAGAATTAAGTAGTAATTCAATTATATTTAGCATATTATAAATATGTGAAATTAAGTTCAATAAAGTCAAGTTTGTTTTGTATCAAATTGTACGCTGTTCCAATAAATAATTTGCATATAAATATTGATCGATATGATGAAGTTAGCGATTTTAGCAACATGTCAATCATACCCTCCAAAGGACGTAGATATTTGATATGTTCTAATCGCCAGAATACGGCAATTAGGATGGAAAAGGAGATCAAATGTCGTTCGGGTATTCGGGTTCAATGGCCAATAATAAAAGGATTTGTGACTGGTAACAAATTCTATTTATTTGGTCGTTCATACATCTACATTTTCGATGAAGATGTTTACAATAACCAAGGAAAAGAATATCCAGTGCATAAAATAAGTTATGATTCTTATTTTATATGCCAAGATGATAAAATTCCAACAGAAAAAAATCGACAGCAAAGAAAAGACATAAACAGTAAGTTTGCTATCAAGTTTGAGATTTAAAATTGAATTTAATAGTGACAATTATTGTTACTTTACATAAATTTAGTTCTAGTTCACGATTGGACTTGAAATTAGTTTGATTATTTATAAAAAGTTTAATTGTTATTGTTCTATTATTTGGTGTTATATTCTCAATTTATAACATTTCGTTATATGTGCCGACAAGAACAAAATGAATGTAAGTTATATGATAAGTTTTGTAAATGATAATATTTACTTAATTTAAATTTATCATCTCCACAGTGAACATGCCAATATTTCCTGGTCTAATGATCATCATCCAGACTTGATTCTAGGAAAAAGAAGCGAAAAAATCGAGAAAACAAAAAACAAGAAATATATTAACAATGGTTCCGTAATCAATCGTCATCACATACATTCGATCAAAAAAAAATCAAAGATCAATAAATCGGTTCAATCATCAACAATTAGCTCATGGGCAACAATAAAATCAACAAAAGAACAAAAAATATCAAAAAAATAAATAATCAATAAGTTTTTGTTTTTTGTGAAATAATGGGTTATGGGTTCCAATATGCATTCTATTGAGAGAATTGATTCGAAGAATGGTACCGAAACAAGAGAGAAGCAGTTATATTCAGTTTGGTCCTTGAAGATGTTTAAATTATCCCAACCATACTTGTTTGCAAAATCATGATTACTATATCTAAACTGATGGTTCAAAACTTGTAATGGATTTAGTTTGACGTTAAATTTCGAATGTCCAGTATTCGATTGCAAGCTAAATTCATTTGAATATTTAAA